CAAAATAAAATCTAGTATAAAATACTACAGATTATAGTAGAGAGAACGGGTGCTGGAGACTGAGATCCTTCAGCAAAGCCTCTAAACACCCTGTAAACCATTTGGCGATTCTCGAATCGCCGATCGCCAGAATGAGTTTTCTGGGAGTCGCTTTGGCGATTGCTGGAGAATTTAATTACGAAAATCCCGAAGAAGAGTCTTCTGGGAATCGCGGCGGCGATTGCTGGAGGAATTATATACGAAAATCTCGAAGAAGAGTCTTCTGGGAATCGCTTTGGCGATTGCTGGAGGAATTATATACGAAAATCTCGAAGAAGAGTCTTCTGGGAATCGCGGTGGCGATTATTTGGCGGTTCTTAAAACAGCGATAAACACTAGGAAATGAAGAATTGAGGAATTAAAGTACCGTACATAGATGCAAAGCAGAGAATAATTGGTCCAACTATTTTATATAAATTACTAAAAATTACTGTATAAGTAGTTTCGTATCTCAAACAATATTTATTAATATATCAGCCATAATATATTATATATTATAATTATAATAATAATATATATCTACACCCATAAATTCAGTTTTAAAGCTATTTTTCTTTGACTTCCTTTGTTTCTTTTATTATTTATTGCTTCCTCATCAAAGTCTCCTAGGAAAATTAACCTATTTGACCTTGGTGAACCCATAGCTTAGAAAAGAAATATATTTCCTAATAACTTGCCCCAACCCCAATTATCCAACTCCCCCAAGATTTTCCATTTCACAGTTTGCAGTTACCCAACGTCCCATTACCTGTTTTATGCCAGTGTGTGTGTGTGCCCCCAAACCCAATCTCGTTGAACTTAAATGCGAACTTAAATGCCCCGTGGAAAAGAAAAGTTTGTCTTCGGTGTTGTTCCGTGTGGGTCCGCCTCCTCCTCCTCTATAGCCTCCATCTGGCTGGTGTGTTTCAGTCCAGTAAACTGGCTCATTTAGCGCTAATTCTCACAAAATGCTGCAATCTCGCTGAGGGATAACAAGAGGAGGAGCAGGAGGAGTAACTGAAGTCGCAGAAAAAGTCGAAGGAGGAGCTAATGCCACCTAACCGTTATTGCCATAAAAAGAAGATTCCGAAACTTAACGCAAAGCGACTCAATAAACGATGAGGCTGGGCAAGGAAACATCACCTGAACACAGGCTACTCCTGCTCCTTCTAACCCTTTTTGCGCCTTAAACCCGTAGAGCATCAGCCGCAAAGTCCCCCAATGGACTGCCGATGAACCTCCGCCGCCATCTCCATTGAGGCGTAAGACTCTCCGCCGTAACTCCATTCCATTCCAGTTCAAATCAACTGCATTCCTAAGCCCTGTCAGGCATTTTATGGCCAACACGAAAGCTAAACTTTTGCCGAGGGAGTCGTAACCCAGCCAGTCAGCCAGCCAGTACACAGGTTCGCCCTTCTATACTCTGCTCTGTGTTCGGAGTGCCCAGGGTTTTCACTGATTCCCGGATACCCGGATTCCGTCGGTTACCCTCTTGCTTAGCTGCGCTCGTAAAATTTTATGCGTTTTTTGCGCCCTACACTGGGCGTTGAAAATGAAAATTGTTACTCCACAACAAGCCAGCTAGCTCCCGGACTCCAACTACCTCCCGGGCTGCTGCTCCCAGTGTCCCATGGCATTCAAGCCAAGTCGAGTGTCGTGTCGCCCGCCAGACGTGCCCAGCAGCAAGCACCCATGGGGAGGCACTTTGGTGGTCTAGGGATGAAAGTTTATTGTGGGGACTTGTTTTAATATAAACATTTACTTTTTATGTTGAGAAGTATTTTTAAGAAGCAACGATATTTATTAATCTTTAAAAGATATATTGTAATTTTAAGGTGTATTAAAACCCTGAATTTTAAAGTAGAATGTTAGTTAATAGTTTTGGCTTTGAAATCAATTTAATTGGTGACTAAAAATGTTTTAAAAAGTATAGATTTAATATTTTATTGCTCTCTTTTGATAGTTTTTCGATTATTTTAAAATTAAAAAACAATAATAAATTATCATAATACCTTGTATCGCTCATCTTTTGCCATCTCTAGTTGTCCTTTACATTGTTTTTGTTGCTCCTTGCTTTTTATGACTTCGGGGTATTTATTTCACTTGAAGCTCAGGATCGAGAGGGATGCGGGTGGCTTCGTCCTGATGTTTCATTTCTGTCGTTTCTCTCTCTCTCTCTGGGAGACTCAGCCCCCTTGGTTTTACCCCCCTTGCCGTGGCTTGTGCGTTAATGAGTCAACACAAAAGGCTCAGCTGTTTGTTTAATGCATGTTCCACCCCTTTCAGACACCCCTTTTCAGGTGGTTGTGGGTGGGGCGGCTGTGTGTGCGTTTCAATGTCGCCTTTGTCTCGTCGTTGTTGCTGCTGCTGCTGCTGCTGTTTGTCAAAATAACGCAAAGTGTTGGGCCAACTTTAAGGGGGTTCCCGGGATTGACACGAGCAAATCACTCGCCCTTGGATGAGAGTGGCAGGATGGCTTACCCTCGTTTATCCCTAATTAGTTTTGTCACATCCGATTGACCTTTTCCTAAGCTCCTGGCGGGGTCAAATGCAGGGAAATATGAGATCTAAAGGCAGGGAATTATAAGTTTTTGTTTGGTTAGGAAAAGTTTTTGATTTAATATAAGAGAATAGTGAAGGCAATTATTATTTAACCAAGTAAGTTAAATATTTTGAAGCTATTTTTATAAGCAAAATAATTAAACTACTTGTTATTTGGCCTGAATTACAAGTTAAGGGCAATTAAAGTTAATACATCTTTTCCGTTTTGCTTGAATTAATCAACTCGATGGAGGTTGTAATTGCTGGCTTCCTTCTCCTGGAGTTGTCTCACATTCGACATGCCCCAAAAACACAATTCAAAGTTTTTCGCTCTCACTAATTGTGCAGAAATTTTCGCAAATGAAAATGCCATAAAACGCAGAGCCTGAACCCATAAAATTCTGCATTGCACGAGCAGCAGCCATATCGAGGAGAAGCTGCGTTATAAACGAGTCTGCGATGTGCCTCAATAATGGGCCAGGATGCCAGGAAGTCAGCTGTAGACGGGGTCGCGAAAACTTTTGCCTTTTGTGATGAATGCGAGAATATGTTTTCTTTTTTTTTCGGGGACTTCATAATGAGGCAACTTCGCAACGGATGCACCATCAATCTGCTAGCTTTCGAGTCACTTGATGGCATTGCCGGAGGGCCTGGAAAAAGGAACTGGAAAACCGTTGCCGAAAATTTAATGCGTAATTTATTTGTGTCAGAGCCCGGCCATCGGTGCGTATGCGTAATGTTATGTGCAATTTATGCGTGCTTGTTGGCCAGGTAAAAGGCCACACACAACAATATATGTATATGGATGGTGGTGGTGTAGGTCATCATTCCACAGCCTATGCGGCGTATGAGTAATGCACATTTTACGCCTGAATTGCCAAAGCCATTTTTGCCATTTTGCCCCGACTTTTCCTATTTTCTCTCTCTCTCTCTCTCTTTTACTCTCCTACTCTATTTATTCCCTTTCTGCCAGGCCTGCCCGTATAAAATATTAATAAATTGAAAGCCATATGAAATGGCATTTTTATGTTTTTCTCTCCTGGAAGCCAAAGCTTAGGCCTTTGTTGCTATTTGTTTGCCGCTGCACAGCTGTCGTTCCATTACATGGCATTGCAAACATTGCGCATACGCCGTGTTTGCCGTATATATTTTATTCTAGGCAGATTTACCAATTGCAAATGCAGGCAAGCTTTCGAGTTGAGTTACATCACTGCAAAGGGAGAAACAACATATGTGGGTTTTTTGGTCGGGGCTTAATGTTTTTATCAGTTGTCAAAGGACGAACATTTTAGAGAGTTTGGGAAGTGTATGATGGCTGTTTTCGACGGATTTATCAAAATATTTTTAAATATATTAGAAATGATGATTGATTTGAGGATATACTAATTTTAAAACCAATAAAAAATATTATTAAAATAATAATAAATACAATTGATAAACTAGATTTTTTTAATAAATAACATTGATGAGTAATATCGGTAAACCTATTGGTAAAATTAAAGATTTAAGGCTTAACAAATTTTACTTTTATCGATATAAAATATTGATTTATTACAGATAACTTATTTGAGTAAAATCGATATTAAATATTAATATAGTATCGATTGTTACAAACTGCATCGATTTATAATATTTATACAATATCGATGAGCATAAAAAATATTTCTGTATTATTGATCTATAATATTATTGCAAAATAAATATATTTAAATACCTTCCGTTAATGTTGAATCTCTAAAAATCCTAGAAACCCCTTTTTTAAAGGGCATTTCACATTCCACACATTCTTCCCTACTTTCCTCCTTACCCTTTACATACACTTCCTTTTATTTTTCCTACTGCCGCACTTCCGGCTACCAACTGTTCAATCAACCTTTTTTCGGAGGCATTTGATATTCATGACAGGCAGATATATTTGTACGTGCCAGGAAAAGCTAAGCAGGCTATCCACTAGCCTAGGAAAATGGCAACTCATTGTGTAAGAGCGGTGTTGTTTTTGCCTGCCGCTGATTCAAATGCAAATATACACACACAGCTCGGATCCTGGCCGAAAAACTTTTCGCACGAGGAAACTTTTTGGCTACGTAGGCGCTGGGAGCTGGGAGCTGGGAGGAGTCTAGGCTAGGGGCAACTTTAAGCCCCAATAAGCTAAGGCAACTTTACGGTTTATTGCCATGTTTGTTTGTCAATCGTTTTGGGGCTAAGATTCAGGGGCAGGCAGGCTGAGAGCCGCCATTCAATAGGCGCTCATTTTTCAAATCAAGTGAAGTGTGAATGAGCCAAGTCCGTTGCTGCTGCTTAGCACGGCAAAGGACCCAAAGGACCCTCAACAAATTTGGCATGCCAAATGAAAAGCCTGTGTAAAAAATACGACTAGTAACCCAGGGAAAACAAAACGAGTAGGGGATTCTCCCCACCCTAAATAAAGCTTTGACTTTGCATTTTTTTGGTTAAATTTATTTTTATTCGTGTTTATTTAAATGTTTTGTAAACATGCATCGAAGCTTAAATGGCTAGTCATGAATTTGTTTTCGGCTTATGCACATATATACTATATATAGTATATAGTTCTATATGGATATAAATGTATAACTAGGCATATAATAAAATGTGGTTGTGTGTGTGTTTGTTTAACTTAAAATTTGGCTTAGTTTTTCCTCGCTCGTTGTGATGTGTTTTTATTTACTCACTAAATTAGCTTAAAAGTGTTTTATAAAATGCTGCTGATGAGGGTTAAAATTGTTTTTGTAATCCTAGAAATGCTTCAACTGGTTTTTAAATGCAATATTTGTAGCAGTTTTTATATACATTTTAGCTGCATATATAGTATATACGCAGCACCACGCAAATACTTTTCGAATCTATTATATATCTTGTTTTTGTTTGTACAGTTACTGTTAAAATATAGCCATAATGTATATGTTATATGTATATCGATCCGTGTTCCTTTAAGTACGCATGTTGAACAGGCGCCCAGACTTAGACATCCATCGAAACTTAAGACTAGGATTGAAAATAATGCTCGGGCAGTTTTTTTTTTAAAGACAATACTACGATTTACTTTTTGGCATTCGCTCTGTCAGTCCTGGGCCTTACTTCTCGGCATTCTGCATGGCCTTGCTCAGGGCAGCCCCCAGTTGGCTGAAGGAGGGTCGCTCCTTGGGGTTGGACACCCAGCAGGAGAGCTGAAAAGAGGTGGTAATTGATGAGGGAAATTAGTCACCTTATTTGGTTAGAAGCAGGTATTTAAGTCATTATTCAAATCTAGATATTTAATTAGATATAGCTTTATAAATTATGGTAAATAATTAAAAAAAAATGCTTGGTCAGATCATAGCATACTTTTTCGCGGCTTTTAATCTGTTTCAAACTGATGCCTACACTTTGTAATCTCTTCTTAAGCTGGAGCACTTACCAATATCTCCTTTAGACTATCAGGCGTGGCCTCAGCCACTGTCCACTCCAAAGTTCCAGCCTGGGAACGCTGCACCACCTGCTCATTGGTGAGCTCCTCGTGCGGCAGCTTGGTGGCCTGATTGAACAGCTCCCACACCACCACGCCATAGGCAAAGATATCGCTCTTGGTGGTATACTCATCCTCTTGGATGCATTCGGGTGCCAGCCAGCGGATGGGAAGCAGCGTGTTCCTGTGCTTGTGATACTCGCGGCTGTACTTGTCCTTGCAGAGAGCCGGATAGGAGACCTTGACAATGAATTCGCTGGAGATGACACAGTTACGAGTGGCCAGATCCCTATAGAAAATAATATTAAGGATAAGGAAAGGTATAGAAAGAAAAGGAATTCCCTGACACCCACCTGTGTGTAAACCTTGCCCTGTATATGGCGTCCATGCCTCGGGCAATCTGATAGGCCACGGCCAGCACCTGGCTGGTGGTCAGTGGCGGCGGCGATGAAGAACCAGCGGTGGCTGTGTTGACTTTACCGGCAGTGGCCAGCAGGAACTGCTTGAGATCACCCCAGTCTGTGTACTCCAGGACCATGTAGTGGGGATCCTTTTCGCGGCAAAGACCAAAGAGACGCACCACACCCTTGTGGGAGATGCCACGCAGCAGGTCCAGTTGTCGCCGGAACTCCTGGCAGGCCTGCTCGTCCTTTACCTTGTTGAGAGCCTTCACCAGGACCAACTGGTCAAGGCCGGACTGGTCCTGCTGCTGTTGCTGCTCTTGTTCCTCCTCCTTGATTTCCTCGATGTCATCCATGGAGGTCTTGGAGCGTCGCTTCTCGTTCAAAGTGCTGAGAGTGGTGCTCCCACTGCCACTGCCACCGCTGCCATTCTCGCTGTTGCTGTGCTGCTTTTCCGTGTCCGCATCCTTGTCAGAGGGTGAGGAGGAGCCACCAGTTACCAGTGTGGCCTTCAGCTTGCCCACAAAGACATCCCCAAACTCGCCGCGTCCAATCTGGATGAGCTCGCTGAGGCCAGAGCGTGGCAGAGCCAGTTGCTCGTAGATGTGGGAGGATTTCTTGGAGGCCCGCGACTGCTGGCTGCAGGCAGTGTCATCGGATTTCTGGGCATCTCCGCTGGACTTGGAACGGGACTTGCTGTGCCCGTTGCGCTGCTTGGAGAGACATGGTTCCTGCTCGGAACCTTTGCCATTACCAGCGGGCTCTGCCTGATCTCCGCCAGCCTCCTTGGTGCTCAGCTCATTTAGGCGCGCCTTTCGGGCTTGACGACGATATCGACACCACAACATAAGACCCACCACGAGAACTATGTAGGCCAGGGCTACGGTCATGGTGATGAGAACGGCTCGGGTGACCAAGAAACCATCGCCGCTGGTTTCCTCGGGTACAAAAACATCGCCGGCGGTTTTCACGACCAACTGGACATCCTCTCGTTTGAGTCCCGCACTGTTGCCAATGGTGCAGCCATAGCTGCCCTCGTCCTCCACCTGAACGTTGCGAATCTCCAGGGTGCCATTCTCCAGGAACCTAAATCTCTCCCGATCTGTGTTGTTTTCGCTGAGGTACTTCAGATCCTTGTCCCACTGGATGGTGGGTTTGGGGTCACCTATGGCCTGGCAGTGCATCACCACGGTGCCCAGCTCAGCGGTCTCTATGGGACCCACAGGCGGGACACTGAACTTGGGGGTTACCACCACATTTATGGCCACAGTGGCATTGATCTGACCCTGGGAGTTACTGGCCAGACATGTGTAGTTACCCTTGTGCTCGGAGTTGACATTTCTGAAGATAAGCGTTCCATTGGCATCCACTTCCACTTGATTGGTCAGCGAGGTATTCACGGCATCCTGCATGGGAAGAAATTGGGGGGTTGTTTGGATTATTTTTAAGGTTTTTTTTTAAAGAAAATAGATATATATTTAACTTATATTTAAATAGTTTTAAAGTAAAGAAATGTTTCTAATTTGTGTGGGAATTTTGAAAGAATTTAAAACAAATTTTAAAGCTTGTAATCATATAAGTAACACCTATCTTTTTTCCCAGTGTGTATCAAAAACACAGATAGACATGTGACCATTGCCAACCAATTTGCCAACGTGTTCCCCTGCGTTTTCATCAAAAATTCAGCAAAACAAAGTGAAATAAAAAGGGTAACACAACTACGCACACACTTTGAACAGGTTTGAGCCGGGTTTGTTTTTCAGCAAAATGAAAAACTTCTTTTGAAAGGCTTTCGGCCCACCCATCTTTTTTAGGCCCAAAACCCGGTCCAAATAGACAAACAGTTGCCGAAATTGGTTGGCCATGGCCAACATCTGGCATCACAAAACGCTCAATGGACAACTGGGAACTGGTAACTGGTCACTGCCAAAACTGGTAACTGGAATGGGTCAAGAGAAGGGTGCTTAGACTCAATAGAGTTTTGCATATGAAACGGTTTGTTTTGTGCAAGGAAAAGTTTGCCCAGCGGCGCGTTTCGCGTTTTTCAATTTGTCATGTGACATGTGGCCATCGTATTTCTGGGAAAAGGGGGAGAACCCAAACATTGCAGCATTCGAGAGCTGTCAAAATGAAGTACCAGGTAGCACCTTTACGACGATGAGGACTGAATAAACTGGGAATCAATCAGTTTTGGGTGGGAATTCATGGGGTTTTTTGGGGGTATTCATGGAAGGATATATCTTTGAATTGTCATTTTAAGATTTAAATTTTAAGAGCTTCACAAACTTATTTTAATTTAAAAATTTAATTTAATTTAAACACTCACCCTTAGCCACTGCACCTGCGGTGGCGGTGTGCCCTGAGCCTTGCAATGCACCTTGGCCACCACTGCATCCAGTTCCAGATTCTTAGACGTAGGCTGCGGCACAAACTTCAGCTGCTCGATAACCTCCAGGATGCCAGGTGCAGAATTGATAGGAGCATGACCCTCCAGTTGCAACTGACACTGATACTGACCCGCATCGCTGGCTATGATGCTGGCGAAGCTCAGGGTGCCATTCTGCTTGTGCAGCACAAGTCGAGCATCTTCCCTGAGCAAAGCATCCTTGCCAGAGTCGGAGGAGTGTCCCGGTATAGGCACCGAGCCACCTAATTCCACTTGCCTCAGGACTTTGCCATCCTTGCGCCAACGAAGTTGTATTCTCTGATTCTGCAGCTCAGCAGGAAGTTCATAGAGACACGTCAGGGCTGCCGGTTCCCCCTCCTTGATGATCACTTGGGCAGTGGGTCCCTGGACAATCCTTAGATCCTCGGGAGCAGGTGGCAATGACTCTAAGCCACCGGATCCACCACGCTTGCCACGGCACAGGAAAGTCTGCTTGTTCCAGGACTCCAGTAGCTTCTGGTTCTTTCTCCTGGGCAACCTGGGCAGGCATTTTACATTCGATTGATAGACATAGCCCTGCTTGCTCATCACTCTTCCAGCTGCATTGGCGGCCGTGCAACGGTAGAGACCATCATCCGAGGCCGTGGGCTGACGTACAATCAGGCGGTGCTGATCCAGCTGGACATTCATCCAGCTGCTGAGCTTGGCACTGTTGCGATACCATTCGATCTGGAGCGGCTCCTGATCCCCAGAGGCGCCCTCCACGTGGCACTTGAGTAGCAACTCGTTGCGATTGTTGCCCAGCAGCTGCACACTGGCCGAGTCGAGATCTGAAAGGGGGATAAAGCGGAGGATAATGTTAATCAAAAATGCACTTGTACAAAATGGTAAAGAAAATATTATGATGAAGTCTTAAAAATTTTGAGTAAATAATCTTTAACCTTTAAATAATAAATTTATATTTTTAAAACATGATAAGATTTATTATATTCTATGGCGACGCACTTCATGAGGTTTAACTTGTGTATTTTGGTATTTGTAGGATTTTTCTCCCACTGTTTCATACTTCCAGTCAGTCTTTCTCGATCGAAGCCAAGAATTGAGTGTGGGGGCTATAAACTAATTGAATTAAGGCCCGTTCAGGGCGAGAGAGTTGTTCCAAGAGTTGCACATTCTTTTAGTGGAACTTAAGACCTCTATAAAACCACCCCAAAGAAGTTATCGATCTGCCTGGGGGAAACCATATAGGCTGGCATTCCATAAATATGCATAATATATCCGGAAGATACATTTAGCCTTAATGCGTTTTCTTAGCTGAGCGAATTCGCTTTGCTCGTTCGTTCCCTTTTGGTTATTCCTCCATTGGTTATTTCTTATTTTTCTCTGAGCAAAGTATTTCGCGGAGCATTAAGTGCATTTTATCGTCAGTTCAGCGCCGAACACGACGCTGCAATCTTTGTCTTTATCGCCGAAGCCTGGCAGCCCATTTAAGGTGCCGAGGAAGCATAAATTGAACTGTCAGTCAGCGAGGCCAGGCGCAGAGACCCTTTCCCATATGCATCTCTTTCCCGCCTCTCCCTCTTCCATATGTAAATGCTCCACCCCAGGTTTTCCTCCTCTTGGCCAGACGGAACGGAATGGAACGGTACTTGCCAACAATTGCTGCATGAGAAAAGAGTTTTGTGGCGGAAAAGAAAAGCGCACAGCAAGCAGGTAAGAAAAAAAATATTAAAAAAAAAAAAAGACTGCAATGCCAAAGAAGAATGTATGCTGCTCTCTATGCTATGTGCTATACGTTCTATGTGCTTTATGCTTTGGCATAGGGTTTAATTTATGTTTTAGTGGCAGCCAGAGGCGCAAGGGGCGTGGCCGGTCATGATGCAGACACGCTAGCATACACAATTGATGCACAGGAGGAAAATTATAAGAATTTTAAATGTAAAATATGACAGGAAATCAGGGATATTAACATAGATTAACAGGAAAATATAAATCTAAAGTTTTCTAAGCTAAGAATGCTTTTCCAAATATTTTACCAGAGTTTCTGCAAAGAAACACCATAACAATTCCTTTTGTAGTTTTGGTTACAACTTTAAAGTTAATTTAAATGTTCTTTCCACATTTTCCCAGCTTTTCATTAAACTCTTCTTCCAGTGTAATGATTTTTTCCCTTGGGTCTTCCTTCATATCTACTGGCTGCAATCGTGCATCTGCTGCTATGAATGAGATACTTTTGTATCTAGGAGTGATAATTGTCAATCGCCCGGCCATGTCTCGGCCTTAAAGTTCTAATTTGGACTTGCCTATAAATTATTTAAATTGTTTTTGGTCGGGAATATACATATATATCTCCCCTGCCTTTAGTGGCATTATAATTTTCATAAAACATTTTTTATCTGCGACTCGAAGGAGGAGACTAGAGATGCTGATGTATGTTTTATGGATATTTTTCCTATCTGAATGTTTGCCAGGTCTGGGCTCTGCGGTTTGCTGGCCGCGTTAGAGAAATTTACATATGCACATAAATCTTGTTTGGGCAACGCTCCGCCACAGCCGACTCTGTTTACTTCTCCCTGAGTCAGTCAGTGAACAAAAAAAATGCCTCTAAATATTTGTAGACACTTATTTGGTGGCACAGAGCGACAGCGACAGCAACAACTCAATAAACAGGGACTGTGCCTTCGTCTTCGTCTTCGTCGTCGTCGTCGTTGCCGTCGAGGAAGTGTCAAAAGTTTGAAGCGTATTTGTGTTCGCAGTCGCATGTTTGTATTTGCTTGGGGCACGTCCATCTACAGCTCTGTCTTCAGCTTCCCCTGCCTCTCCCTTTTCGTCTCCGACTCTGACTCTGACTTGAATGTTCTCTGAGGTTGGCCTGTGGCACAAACTTTGGGTATATGTTACTACCAAAATGACAGTAGAGTGAACTAATTGGCACTTAGACAGCCTGCGAACGAGAGTATCTAATGGATGGCCAAACATCTGAGAGATTTGGCTCTGGATGGGGGAATCTCTTGGATGGGGAAATCTCTTACCTGGAGAGGTGTGGAAATGCTGGTGAACAGCATTGATCGTAAAATTGGGTTCCTCGTTTGGGTAAACAGTACAAAAAGTATTTTTGAGATACTTTTGGAAGGGTTTAGTTTGGTTTTCTTAAAGTGTTAATTCTTTTTTGGGGGAATTTAGGGGTAGCTGGAGTGAAAATACGGTTTTTATTACCCAATATCAATCAATAGTTTAGATGAGGAATTTGTTAGTATTAGTAGATACCAAATTACTGAGGAAAACGGTGCCAAATATTTATTAAAATATTTATAAATTTTTATTTAGTTACACTTTAAATTCCTCTAATTTTTCTTGGGGCTTGAATCTTCTTGTTTTTCCTCTACTATTTTGTATTTGCTTCCGCTGTGGAAGATGCTATCTATCTCAGAAATCTATCTCAGTTAGTATCTTTACCTGGAAAGCTCATAAGTTTGTTAGCAAAGATATGACTCTCTTCCTTTCTATCTCAAAGCGAGTTCTTCGTGCTACCGGGTGATGCTCGTAAATCTTTATCTTTTCCTCTCTGCAAGTACAAAATCTTACAACTGAAAACCTCCTCAAACAAGTCGTTTTTTTCGCTACCTTGTAGGAAAACCTGGCATAACTGTAACTCAAATTACGAGCTGAATGCCGCGTCTCGCTAATTAACGAGCCTCTCATTAGGCTGATGTATGCAGCGTCAGAGGCTGCAGATCTTTTGACACCTCCAGCTATACACTATACCTTACACTACCTTACATACCATATACTATATACCATGCCCTGGATGTGTGGGAGTTTCAAAAAAAAAAAGGAGGAGAGAATGCGGAGTCATCATTCACACGTTCAACGTGCCGCGGCGTGAAAAACGTGGAAAATAAAACTCGGGGAACGGCTCCAAAACAAAATAAATTTGTTGAAAACTTTTGCGCTGGCTGGCGGAGGGCTATAGCATAAACCACAATCGCTGTAAACAATTGCTGGAATGCCGGGGCGGAGTGTGAGTTTGGAACCCATAAAAAAATAGAGACGCCTTGGGTAAACAAACGTGGAAGTAAATGTCGAAAGGCGGGCGGGCATTATAGATATCGGAATTGACAGTCAGAGCCGGAGACCCCTACTCCTGTTCCAAAGGGAGAAATAAGTGTGCCGACTGCGTCTTATTTCGTCAACTGTGTGTCCATGGTGCTTCTCCTCCTCAGAGCCCCCGATAAGATATCGTTGCAGTGGTGCAGTTTGCCTTTTATCGTTTGGCTTTTTATGAAAATATAATTAATTGATAATCGAAAATAGATTATTTGAACGGCCGGCGCGGACAGAGCTTGCGTCGAGTGGCTGTGTTTTCAGCGCTGTCATAAAGCCACTTTTCCACTCTTCCAATTTTCCACTTTCCCAATGGGCAACCGAGCCCCTACAAGTGGCTGCTGCTGCTGCTGCTTGCTGGCTGGCTTTCTGAAGTGGCCGTCAGTAATTGTGAACGTTAATGGACTTACGCAGCCCTCCTCCACTCCACACTCCACTCCATTTCACTTGAATTGGTTGCACAAAGCGGCTTACAAGTTATTGACCCATTTCACAAATTGGCGCTGAAGCTGTTGCAGTTGCAGTTCCTCTGGCGAATTTACAAATCAAAATTGTTTCAAGATAATCACTCTGCCAAATGAGAACTATTCCCCCACAAATCGATGAGTTGAGTTTTCATCAACTGATTTTGGGGTTTCCACAGATTCCATTTTCCACTGGCCATTTATGGAAAATTTATGACCAGACACAGAGGAATGTGTAAGCTCTGGCAGCTCTTGGCAGAGCTCTCCAGTGCGTTATCGTTGAATCTTTAATTAAAGTTGGCCGTTGGTCGTCGCCGCGTCTCGCTGTCTCAGCGCAAAATACTGTCCCCCCCAAACGCTTTTCAAATTAAAACGTTAAACATTCGATTATCGCACACGGTCTTCTGGTCTGGTCTGTCCCTGTCCCTTCTGCTGATTTTCCTCGATTTCTATTGACAGTGGTGGCTCCCGGTGGGGCGACCTTTGCCCATTTGCAAGGGCAGAAGTCCCCTTTTTGGGTGAGCTACGCTCCTGTTGCTGCTGCTATTTCCCTCTAATGCCTTTCCCAAAAAGTTGCTAATGATCAACTCGTGTAACAACATAGAAAAGCCAAAAGTAAAATAAATGCCAAAAAGGACAATAAAGAAAATCCTAAAGGTTAGAAAGGGAGAGGATGAAAGGGATGCACGTGGAGAAATATGATCTTTACAGGAGAGTCTATTTTTGTGCTGAAAACTTCAAATTTAAAATTCTGTGTTGAAATTTATATAAATTTAAGTTAAAATATATTAAGCCTAGATGTTCGGGGATGTTTCAGAAATTGCTAGTATTTTTAAAACCCCTAAAATGGTGTCAGAAAGTTTGCTTAAAAATATTACATTTAAAACATCACAAATATGCAATTAATGTGGTTTATTAAAAATGATGCATACTTTTAGACACATTGTTAAGGGTTTTAAAAACTCTAGAGATTTGTGAAGTACACCAAAAATAATTCTTGGAAATTTAAGCTTAAGTTATAAATTTTAGAAGTATTTATTCTATAGAATCTGTAAAGAAAACCGTAGTCAAGAAAACCGTAGTAAAATCGTTTTAAAACTTTCAAAATACTGCAAAATCTTTTTGAAATCCTTCTATAGAATTCTTATAATTTTCTTAATTTTTTTTCAGTGCTTAGAAAGAGACAATGAGAGGTTACACAGGCTAGCGCGCCAAAAAGTTAGCTATGGTTTTGTGCTTGCCAAGCTCGTGTCTGTTTTTCTGTTTTTCAGTCTCTCCGTCTGCCTGTCGTCGTAGTCATCGTCATCGTCGTCCCCTTTAATGTTCTCTGAGCTCGGCTCGTAAAATTTTATGCGTTTTTCCGGCATTCACAAAATGAAAATTATCCGGTTTCCTCCCCCCCTTGCCACCGCCGCCCGGCGTTCCACACACCCCCGAAGGAATCCGGGCGAATCCGTAAAATAAAAACCCAACTTGCCAACTGCAGTCAACTTGAACTTGTGTCTAGAACACACAGAGATACAGCCAACAGAGCAAGGATATATATGTATATATGGGGGTGCTGTGCCGATTTGGGGGTGGTTTTCGTCCTGGAAACCCCTTCGACGGGCGAACCCCCCAATGTGCTGGGCGCTGTTGTGTCTTTGCATTTTGTTTGGTTTTTATGACTTTGCCGGCTCGGTTGCCATTGTTGCTGCTGCTGCCATTTCTCATTTTATGTTTATGTTTCGTGTTAATGTTGCATTTCATTTCCCTTTCCCCCCTCTGGAAGCACATTTCTCTCTCTCGCAGTTGCCGCTCAGCTGATATTTCGAGAGTCCAACAACCCCTTTTTGGGTGAGCAAATGTTTGGAATGTCCCCCAACTACTCATGGTCGTCGTCCTTCAGCCAGGACTCCTCAGCCATCGTCTGGCTCTGGTCTGACTGCGCTTCAGTTCTTTCTTTGCTTTTATTTCAACATTTTTTTTTTTGGTCCTGAGTTGATTCCAAGTCCTGGTTTTATTGCCGTCTGTTTAATTCCTCCACTGTCTGCTTAATTCTTTGTAGTCATCGGTTAGTTTGCCGGCACACTGTCAGCGTGTTGTCTTCCCCAGTTTTTATGATCCCAGCGAAATGGTTGGATGGCTGAACTTTGTCACAGAGATTGCTTGCATTTGCCGGGATTATTTGTCTTTAATACCCAGATAATGCGATACAGCTGGTTAAGTTATTTATATATACATATTTTAGATATATTCTGGGAGGTTTGTTGATATTTGTTTTGTTTCTATATAATTTAAGTTAAAAATGTTAAAAACATGAACATATAATTTAATTTAATTTGTATTTTAAGCTTTAAAGTACTCCTATTATTTGATTAATTTAGTACATTTAAATTCCTTTTTAAGCCAATCAAAGTTTAAACTTCTTTCCTCTTTTCCCAAAGAGCTTCCGCCATTTATTTTCCCATCTCAAATTTGTTAAATGTAGCAAATGAAAATGTCACTTTTCTTCTCGCTTAATTGAACACTTATTTCCCAGGAAAATGGAGACAAGAAAAGCTCGGCTAAGACAATGCAGTAGCAAGAATAAAATCGTTGAAAAGTAAACTTGAGCTAAGGAGCAACGACACCGTCTCCTCCAGCTCCTTGCATATTTTAATAGTTTTCGTCTGCCGCTGTTTAAAAATTATGAGATTGATGGGAACACTGGCCAGCAGGGGATTGGGGCTGTAATCACATAACCCACTTAGCTTCAGCTGGCGCCAAGATACTATCCCTCACTCCTTCACCCAGCAGCTGCCTTTGGGGAAAAGCAGCAATTAAAATCAACTCCCAAAACTACAAATTAATTAGTTAATTAATTAGCTAAAAGCACTTGAGATGAGGCTGGTGTATAAATAGCGTCCCAAGGAAGAGGTCTTTGCTGTGTGTTGGGTGGCTTTGATCACAGCCCCGGTGCCGGTGCCGTGGCCGTGCTGACAGCCCAGCTACAGATGCGGATCCCGGGACCAGATACAGATACTATCTCTCGCCCAAACACATGCACTCCAGATTGTGCATAAAAACCCGCGTTTTGTTTACACGAAAGGAGGAGTGCAGCGGCGGAGGAGGCCAGATCGGGGAGCTGTTTTGTTAAATTTATGCATTTTTCTGCCTAAAGGCAAATGCAACTAAATGAACATCAATCACGTGACGCCGCTGCCTCAACACGCGGCCAAGAACTGCAACTGCACTTGCTACTTGAAGGGAATCAACAAAGGCACTGAGGGAAATTTGGCTTTATTTTAAGAATTTTTCAATAAGTTGTAGGGAAAAATTAATTTTCTAAAAATTTAATTTTAGCTAATTTTGCTAACCCTTAAAATATATTTTTTTTTATGCGAACGTAACCAGGCGAATCGATTTAGTAATGTTTTTTTGGCTGTCTATTGGTAATGTTGCTAAAACACCTCTGCAACATCCTTATGCATATTGCTCAACATGTTTCCAGCTACATTTTCTTAACCAACAGTTTAAACCTCTTTTGACATTAAAATGAATAAATAATAAATGAAATAAATTAGGAAATTTAAACATAATTTCCCCCAGTGATTGGCTCTTCTTTTTAACGCTCCACTGCCTGAGACTGTGCGCTCTGTGCATTGCACTGCACTTCCTGTGGCCCTTCGGCGAGGGGCGTAGGGCAGGGGGGATCTATGGGGAGTGGAGAGGGTAAGGCCGAAGAGGAGGAGGGGCCACAAGAACCTGACGTATGTACATCAAAACTTTCGGTTTTTATCTTTCATCGGTTTGTTGTGCTGCGTTTCGTCCGCTTCGGTTGCGTTTTTATGCCTCTTTACCTTTTCTGTTGTCTTGTGGTTTGCCCAGATCCACAAAGAAGTAAGGAGGGTATGGCAGGGGGAGTGGTTGAAGGAGCAGGGGTAGGAAGGAATGCCATTAAATGCAGCATTAATCAAATGAATTTGCCTTGTGTGTAGGCTATTACACAAAGAGAAGAGATGGAGGATCAGCAAGAATTTAATCAGAAATGAATTTTATATAATATAATCTTTACAATATTTTATAAACTTTATAAAGCACTTGATATGGTATGAAAAATAATAAAATAAGTTAAGGTAATTTTCTGATTAAAAACAGCCCCAAAAGGTAATTTATTAGAGGATAAGTTCGTAAGTAAGTTTTCCCTTTTTTCTGCTTTAAATAATACCCTAAAAAATATTTAAAAATATATTTAAAAAATAAAATTTTGTCTTTGAATCTTCTTCATCTTAAACCCTTTTCTCGCAGTGCCTTCGCCCGGCATGCAATCCAATTTAGCTTTGTTAATTTCGCCCAGCACAAAGTCAGAGATTTGCGGCCGCCCTTAACCATCAGTCAATTTGCTCATTGCGACCATTTATGGCCATCTCAATGGATACAAACTATATAGCAAAAGGGGATTGGGATGGATAGATATATATATATAGGAACTACTCACATATCACGCTCAATTTGGCTGGCGGAGACGCCTCCCTGGCGCCGCTGGCCAAACTTGTCGCGATGCAGACATAGTCGCCGACATCCTCCGGCCGCTGCACTGCCTCGATATGTAAATTGGAGCCGATTTGATAGACACGCTTGTCGTATGCGATCCGATGACCTGGAACACGATGAATACTTAATGGCAAAATCCGTGAAATATATATGTAAAGTAATGGCTTACCATTATGCAACCACTCGTAGTGCAGTTCGCTGGACGAATCTGTGGATTCGCACTCAAAGTCAACGGATTCATTCTCCACCACCGACTGGCTCTGGGGTAATCGCCGGAATTGCGATGAACTGGCCCAAACAGAAGCTGGAAACAGAGCAGGAATATGTACAAAGTGTTTTAAGTAATTTAAGCAATTACAGGGTAAAGTTACAGGGGTTAAAATATAGCCTAAGCTCATCACAATTATAACCCTTTTGCAAAAGACTTATTCGTATAATTAACTAAAAAAGTGCATTAAGCTTCATTTCGTTTAATTAAAGTGGTTAAAACAAATTAAATTCGCTTAAGCTGCTTAAATTACAGTGTTTAACGCAAATGTAATTTTGTTAAGCACTTTGCAAAGGGTAAAAAAGTACAAAAACCAGCAAAAACAAAATACTTAAAAGGGGGCAAAGACCAGTTGCAAGGTGAATTATGTGATGCCCTTACATAAATTGATTGAAAAACATAAAATTCTTCTCCTTAAAACAAAGCTTTTAAGTAAATTATTAAATTTAAATGTCATGTTAAAGGGTTCTTTAACTTAAACATGACTTAAATATATTTATAAAACCCTTTAAAGCCTTGAAAGATAGAGTATATACCCGCCTGAATGCTATATTCAAACTCCCTTCACTGCAGCCTGAAGTTGCGTGTTCTCAAACAAAATTACAATATGTGTATGGAAAATAAAATAAACATAAAAGTATCCACAGCTCGCTCTGCGCCAACATAATTAAAAGCCCAGAGAAAAGGCGGCCATAAAAAACGGCAAACAAAAAAATATAAATATCCCTGTATTCCAACGAGAAAATATGTTTTTTTTATGCAAGCATTTTTAATTTATTTCTTTTTTGTTTGTTGTTGAATGCATTTTGGTTATTATATTAAATCAACAGCCGCAAATGCAATTCACGGCAGAGATATATATAATTCAATTCTATGGTCAGGTGTGGCAATTGTATACAAAAAAAAACTGCATTTGCATTTTAATGACGATTACTTAATGAGCTGGCAGGACTCAACAGAGTTTATCCTATCAAAAGCGTTCAACAAAAACCACAAGTGGCGCCCAACGAGGAGGACGGAGGAGTCAAGTGAATGGGTTCTAGAGGATTATTGGCGAACCGCAGCCACAGTCGCACAGTCGCAGACCGAAACTAAAAGCAATTCAAAAGCAATTATTTTTGATTATATGTGTGTGCGGGATACCAGGGAACGAACAAGAAGAACTACAAAACGGCCACCATTATATTTGGCCACTAATTGGAGCAATTTGAGACAACACCTCAGATTGTGGGGACCAGGACCCGGCTTGAACCTTCTCGGGAATCAATAAGCGGGGTCCAGGAACAACACCACTACCACCACCACCACCACCAACAGCAACAACAACAACATCATTAAAGGCAGGGAGTTCCCCGGTTTGCCTTCATATCCCATTCAAGTCACATAGCCCCAGCGACGTGTTATGATACACGGCAGGGCGAGTCAAAACCGAAGCCAAGCCAAAAGGCAGTTGCCCAGGCCTGGACCTCCTCCTCCCACCGAACCTGAACCTCCTTTGTTCCCTTGTATATTCCTGCCATATTCCCCCCGCTGAATCGATTTAATTTGCCGTGCGGAAAACGAGTTCGAGCGAGTCGAGGGGGCCGGAACGGAAAGGAGTGCCGGGCACAAAGTCAGTTACTGGGCGTCGATTAAAGAAATATGCGTCCCGCTCTTCAGTTCGTTGCGTCTGCCGTCGCGCTGATTGCGCTGATGTGGGCACGAAATGCGTGAGAGGAGGCTCGAAACCAGGCTGAAGCCGGAGCTGGTGCTGGGAGGTGGAGCCGAAGCCGGAGCAGCAAAACAGAAAAAGTGTTGATGCTGCAAACATCAGCGACAGAGTCGCGGAGCAGCGGGCAGTCCCAGCAGTCGCAACTGCCCATCTTGATCTGTCTGTAAAAGAACACTGAGGGAAAAAAAGGCTTGACTGAATAACACATAAAAAGTTCTTTATTTTATTTCACAAAAAAAATCTATTTTAGAATTATTTATTTACTTTATAAGTCTTTATTATGGAAAGTTTAAGTCTTCTCAGAAATGAGTCTTTTTAAGGTATTTGCGAGCTTAAAATTCTCAACTAGTTTAAGCAGTTTTGTGGACTAAAGTTTATCGAAAAATTTTAAATTTAAATTCTTTGAGGTTTTTTGAGGTCTACTTAGAACTTTCTTAGAAGTTTTGTTTGTGTAAACTTATTTGGGCACTTATTTACATTACAAATCACTATATTTAAGTTCATTTCTTATATTTTTTTCTATTAAACTATTATTATTATAAAACAAAAAAAAGTATACTTTTTCCCAGTGCATTATTCCTTTTCTGCCTGCGTGTGTGTGATAATTAGTTCGTTTGTTTGGCTCGAATAACCGAAATCAGCAAGTCAGCAGCAAGTAATACCCGCTCATAGTGGACCAACTGCTGCGGCAGGGCCTGGGCCTCCTCTATCTACCGCTCATCAGCATCTCGAGATTCAGATATGGACAGATCCAAGTGCCGAGTGCCACAAATTGTGCGGCAACATTTGTCGATTAAGCACAATGAATGCGAAATATTGTTGTAATAATCAGGCAACCCACTGTGGCAGCCACTTGAACTTGCCCCATGGGTGGCGTTTTGATTTGATTTTCTCTGGAGGAAGAGGAGGAACAACTCCAAGCTCCAGCCAAGTAAACTGAACTGTCACTCTGGAATGTGCGGTATTTGTCTGGGAAAACCTGGCCGGAAAACTGCAAGTCAACAGCCAGACAGGCTGTGAATGAAAAGTGGAAATGTGTCTGACAATTACCCGTCAAATGTTTGATCTAGGGTTTTCTCTCTCGGGGTTGAAAGATGGACATGGACTCTGAGTCTGCTTTGATGGAGTTGGAATTTAATTTAAAGGTTACAACAAGGCTAATCATTCGTAGGAGGGTTTATTCATTCTTTATTCATGGTTTGTCGGAGGTTTATTTGGGGAGATGAGAAATCTTTAAGAAACTGGAAAACTTTCTTGAATGGAGAATTAATACTCCATTTCTTGGGCATATTTAAATAGAGCTAAATCCTTAAACATTTCTTTAATGTATCCCTTAACTCTTGTACTGCTTTATCCTTTTCACAAATGCCTTTCCAAGTTAGAGACTTTCGCCTGTATTTTCGTATGCCTTCTAGCCAAATACCTAGCCTGCTCGTACAATTTGCAAGAGAGCTCTCGAGTGAACTTTTCGACTTGAGGTCTTTAAGGTTGCCGAAGGACGCAGACAGGACGAGGCTGTTAAGGGGGAGTTTTGTAGTTTTGCCACACAGCAGAAGCAGCAGCAGCTGCCCTTAATGTGGGATGTGGGATGGATGCTTTTGCTCTCTGCTTTTGGCCTGGCATGTTGCATGCAGCATTTTGCATGCTTGAATAACAAATTATGACTGCCACACAAAAGGACTTGCTCTCGCACACACACACACACACACACACACACACAGGCAGCCGCATTATTTGCCGTACAAATAATGGACCTCTGTAGCGTTGCACAGATTCTGAAATATGCGATTCCCCCTCATTTTCTGTGTCTGCCGGCTGGCTTTTGTTTGCGGCTGTTTGCCTTTGTGCTACTTAACAGTCAGCAGTTTTCATCGCTCACACACATACACACATGCGTTGCCAAGGACCTTAGCTTGCATAAGAGACCCGATCCTGATCCCAATACCCAGTCCCCGTCCCAGGACAGCAGCAGATCCCTCTTGTAATCCTTGCCGTAAACTATATTTGATTAGCTGAAATTTTCGGCGTCGCCTGTCTCACTTCAAGTGGTTATCCTGATCCTTAAACTGCCAAGTCCTATTTTATTTCAAGTGTGTGTGAGTGGGGACACTGAGAGAAATAACTAAATTTAAAAAATAATATATTTTTGCCTAAATATAAATAATTATTATGAAAAATGTTAAATAAATTGCATATTTTTCCTGTTGAAAATTATATATTTTTCGAAGTACTACAATTTTTTTCTCTGTTTGTGTTTTTGACATTATTTGCCCTTCTTTTCTTTAAACATTGCTTAGGTCCTTTGCCCAACGACTTCATTTTGAACTTGAGCCGCGCATGTCCTTACCACCGGAGGAGTCGAGGTCTCATAATTTTCCAAAGCGGCTTCCTCTCCCGCTGACTTCTGACTTCTTCTATTCGAAATTAGTTCTGCCAGCTCGCTGACTCCTGGCTGACTCTTAATTGAGTCATTTTGCACGCCGCTTGCCTTTGAAAATTCAATTGCCACAGAAAGAAAGACAAAGGCTCAACCAAAATAGCCCTCATTGAGTTTGAGGCATAACTAGAGCTAGCTCGCCTCGGGGTTATTAGAGTCCACATAATGGGTGGTCTCATTGCAGGCAGGCATGTTTAGCTTCCTTTGAAGCTCTTCTATGAGCGATCTAGTTGCAAAAACAATTTCTAAATGCCAACATCAAAACGAAAACAAATGAAAGCGAACGGGAAACCAGGGCAAAATGAAATAAGACTCACTTATTTGCAATTGAAAAAAAAAACGAAATCCCCTCTCAATTTAGACACCCCAAATGGTACAAAAAATATATAAAAAAAGAACCTTTCTAATTCTACTTACCCATCATCAAAGCCAGCGCCAGGATGTGCTTTGCTGCCATATCTATAATTTGAAGTTTTATCCTTGCACTCGATGGATATATCCACTTCTGTTCTCAATTAGCAAGTGATAAAATCGAAGCCACACTCGAAAACACACACGCGAATTGGTTATATAGTCGACGGATTGGAGTTTTACGGGCTTTATGACTGACAATCCGATGAATACACTCTCGAACACACACGCACACACACGGCAGGCAAGGCACAACCACCAGAGAGTCGTCGCTGAAAGTGCCGGCCACTCGAAAATGCACTCAACGCATTTGTAAATATTCAATATTTGGATGCCAGACGACGACGACGACGGCGATGATGACGACCACGACTGCCCTTTTTCAGGGGCTCCGAACACTGGAGAGATTGGGTCTGGTCTGGTACTGGGATTGGGGATGGTGTATGGTGTATGGTGGTTACCGGAGTCCGGGGCGGTTTTTTGATATTTACTGTGGACACTCAAATTAAATTGCTATTTACATAGTTGGGAACGCATGCATTTATCACCGAACAAACTCCACGGCTGTTTGTGATTGTTGTTGTTGTTGTATTTGTATCTCTAGAGGAATAGTATCTGTCGGGTGTCCGCTTGTATTTCGTAGTTGTACCGGGTTTCTTCTTTATCAGCGAACAGATTGACAAGCGCGGCGCGGTGCACGGCGGAGGCGGAGTACGATATCTGACGGATACCGACAAAGGTATCTAGATACACAAAATGCAATGCAATGCTCGAAGACGCACAGATACCGAAGCGGAGCAGGGTTCAATTACCCAAAGGAGAACGCGAGCGCAACAAATCAACTTAATTTGTATCCCAAAGATACAAAAGCCAGCCTCGCAACGGCTTGGCGCATCAGCTGCATCCTTGGTCGCCGCTCTGCATCCCGGCTGTAACCGGCTTTTGGTGGGTGATTGTAAGTAGTAGTACCTGGTCGGGGGCCCAGGAGTCACGTCACGCAGCGAAACAAACACAGATCGGATCGGAGCGGAGCGGAGTATCTAATCGAATCGAACCCAACTGCACGCGTTCGAAGTCTGTTTATTACTGACTGCCGGCTGTTCGAAGTTGTTGGTGGGAACCGGCTTTCTGCTGGCTCTCTATATTAAGAATACGAAGTTCGGTTGGTGCTACGAACTCTCTCTGTATGAGACTTTCTACCCCTGCGAGAGTATTCATCAGTATTGCCTGCGTTTTAAGCAGTGTTGCCGAGCTGCTGAGCCATGTTTGCTGGGCGCGTAATGTTTGAAAAATTAATATAAAGTGAAAATTTAGTAGATTGAAATGTTATTTATAGGTTTCTTTAATTTTAAAAATAAAATTTGAGGAATTTAGTGGGAGTATACTTTAGGTACAGAGAGTTAAAAGGCTAAAGGAAGTATTTAGTTAATAAAATATATTGAAGGTTGGCTGCTTTTAGGCGAATTTTTGAATAAACGGATGAAATTTACGATTTTAGTTAAATATTTTTATGAATGTATATTATCCCTATATTATTTACATTTTAAAAGGCTCTTGATACTTGTCATAAAGTCTGAATCTCTGAATATCTTATTAACTTTAATTAATCAAATCCTGTAGAAAGATTTACCACTCCCAAATGAAGCTATCAGCTTTCGGTAATCATAGATCCCGAGTCTATGCAAACCGCCAGCTGCCTCCTCATCATCCTGCATTATTTCTTCCCCTTCTCTTGATTTTAAATCCAAACAATAATGCGTCTTAATGACCAAACCAAAGAATCGGCTAAAATGGGTTGGTCGAGCGGAAGAAAGGGGGAGTAGTGGCTGCAGGAAAATCCATTGGTGGCTTGCTGTTTTACGAGCAGAAACGCGCTTGGATAAAATGCAAGAGGCTTCTAATTGTATACACTGTAAAAAAATTATAATTCAACTTTAAAAAGTATTAATAAAAATGTGAGATTATTTTTAGACATGGTAAATATTACTTTAAAATATATAAAAATATTACTTAAAGAAGATGAAGCTAAATAATTATTTAAATGATACGAAAATATTGATTTTATTTATTTGTATATATGGTTTGAAGTAGTTTAAGATTTAATATTTATATTTGTAACAATTTTTATGAGAAACTGTCATAAATGGATCCCTGTTTTACAAGGGAAATGTATTTAAAATGTCTAAAAAATAATAATTTTTCAAGCTGCTTCAAAGATAATCTTCAAATTTATTTCCCCAACTTTAGTTTATGTTACCTATTCGAGAAATTTTATTAAATTAAATTTAAAAAAGTATGCTTTTTGTTTCTTTATTATTTTCCTTTGAAGAAAGATCCTTATTCTTAACTTGAGATCATTTCTTTCGGTGCATCTAAGACAGACTGCGACTACTGTGCCGATTATGAGCGTGTGCCCCTTCTGCTTTCGTGTGTATGTTTTCCATTTTATAGTTTTCCGCTTGTTTTTTTACGCGGCCTTTCAACCCCGCACAATGGAAAGGCAACCCAAGAGCCACAAAAACAATTGCAGCAGATCCTTTTGCCGGCGCTGACTGACACCCAACAGTCGTAAAATGCCGTTGCCATTTGTATAAACTATATATCCGGGTGGATGTGGATGTGCCAGTGGGGTGGTGGTAGCGGTGGTGCCCTCCCAAATTTCCCCCCCGTTCCCCTTTGGCCCCGCCCCTGATTAACAGCCCTTTGTGATTATATCTGCGTGGCAATGCGTGTGTGTGTGTGGTGTGCGGTTATCAAATGTTGGCCATGCCCAGCAGGGAAAAGGGACAAAAGAGAGAGAGTCCATAGACGAACGACCATCCAAAGTTGGGCCCTTGGCAGTGCGCTTTTCCATTTTCCATTCCCACTTTCCGACTTTGGACGAACGACAGTTATTGATGTCATAAAGTTGGAGATTTATGCCATGCCCTGCCTGAATGTTGGGCTTATGTTTTATTATTTCTGTTGTTTCGTTTTAGGCATGATTTCTTTTTTTTTGGGGTGTCGTCTAGCGATCGAAATAACCAAAGCTGCAAATGGTGTGTTAATAATTCTGCACAAAAGTTTTCTATTCTAAAGAGGGGTTGTGAAAGGGTATTATGTTAATTGGATATATAAGTCAAAGGATATCTGTATCTACACGCTTGGGAGTGCACGTCTTAATTAGCCTGGGGAAGAGATATAGGATCTTTATCCTATAAAAGGGCTTTTTTATAACATTAAATATTCTGAAATATTTTTAAGGAAGGGAAGTATTCAAAATATTCTAGGGAATGTACTTATTTTACAAATATTTTATAAAATACGTTCCCCTTAATTTAATAAAACAACTAACCAGAAACCCCTTGAAATATTAATAAACAAATTCTTAAAGAAAAACTCTCTTGTAAAGAATGTATCTTGCAGATTCTTCGAACTATTGCAAACCAAGTTTCCTTTCATCTTTCAAGGGATCCCCCCCGGTTTATCCATTACAAAACGATCCATAAACTATATGTATTTCCAAGTTATTATTTTCGAACTGCTTACCGTAACTCAACGCCTCGCAATCGTATAATTTTATGGAGTTGCAACGAATTCCGTGCGAGAATCACAAACCGAATCCAAAATCTAAAGCCGAATCCTCTCTCTCTCCGCTGGCAAACATCAAACATTTAGAAGGCATTAAAATAAATTTTAGTAACGCGGCCTTTGCGTAGACTAAACAAAATAAACATTTAAACAGCGCGTTTGAAGGTGTATTATTATTTTTTTTTTTTGGGGAGGCACCGGGCGCGCGTACTTGCTGTAAACAAATAAGGCGAAAAAAAAGTGGGGGAAAATCGAAGAGAAGGAAGCCCCTGGGCCCCAAACAACAAGTTTTTAATGCATGTCGATGTCGTCGTCGCCGCCGCAGATCAAAGGGGTATATATAGTGTGTGTAGGAGGTGGGGGCCATAGGATACCATACCATTCCATGGTGGAAATGCAGGCTGGGGTGGTCGTTTAATTGCACTTGCCGCTTACTTTTTTATCTCCGGTGCTGCGGCATGGAGTAACCTGCGCATGTGTAGTTGCCTCTGGATACTGCCTTTGATGTGCGCTGTTTATTCGAGCGCTATAAAAAACCATAAAATATGCATAAAACGCATAGGCAGCAGAAATAACCAAGAGCCAATTGCGAGAGAGAGAGCAGAGGCATGAATATGGAAATGGAAATGGGAATGGAAATGAAGCGATTAAGTGCAGACGCTGGCAATTGGTAGGGAATTGTCGTCAGCAATTGCGGGAAATTCACTTGATGATGGCCAGAGCACAGCGCAGATGACTTATGATGACATAAAAGGGTGATTCCCCTGGGTGGGGGGAAGTAGAACATGACAGCAAAGTGCTTTGATGTGATCATAAGTAAAAGAAATATTGATATTTTAATAGATTTTATTTCCTTATTGGGTTAACTTTTTAATTAACATGTTGTTTTGGCAAAGAAATTGTATAATTGGAATTTGATAATGAGTTTATTCTTTTTATTTAGACAAAGATTTCTTAACAATATTTTAATTATTAAGGAGAACCTTTCTTATTCCTGGTAAACTTATCTATTAAATCTTAAACTAATTATTATTTTTAAAATATCAAAACCCAAGAGTTTAATTTTCCTATTACTATATTTATAGAATCATTTAATATCCTCTTCCAAACTGTCACTTTCCTAAACTATCACTTTCACCTTAAGCCAAGCCATAAGGCAACATCCCTCTATTCCACAAACGATCTCCTTTAGATACCAACCTTGTTAAGGGAATCTTAAAAATTCCCTTGTATTCATTTAACTGAATTATCATCCCTGCGTTAGATGAGACACCAGAATGTCGAGCTCTTATTTTACGACTTTCTATCCCAGGGGTTGAGTTTTTTCCTAGGAAAACTCTCCAGAGCTGGCCGGCTCCTCCGCTGTCGTCATTTGAGGAGCTCGCGCGCTCTGCTTTCGTCATAAAAAGCGCATAAAAAGCTGTTGAACGTTCATCCGGGCTCCATGGGCTTTACGGCCCTGCCAAGTGGGCACCGAATTTATGTTCAATGGTGGTGGCATCGAGGGATTTTACGATTCTACTCCCACTACTCCGCCCCATTGCCACAGTGCACCCGCAAAACAAAAACAAAAAAAGGAGATTGAAACGATTGCGCTATAAAATTGGGCTCTATGAGAGCCATAAAATATTTATTCTACTAAAAAATAACTGTACATGGGATATATTTATATATATATATATATACACTGAGAGACACACACATGCATAAATACGTATGAACTAGATAAATATAAATACAAATAGACTTCCGGGGGGGATTTCACAAGTTCCTTTTTGATTCTCCACAACAACAAAACGGAGTAACACTCGAAGGGAGAGGGAGAGGGAGAGGGAGCGGGGGCACGGGACCGAGATCATGGAAAGTTTCTCTCAGGAGCTAAGGCTCCATCTCATCCTACTCCTTCTCCACCTCACACAATGTCATCGGCCACCTGTGACTCTTGTTCCAGGATTGTGCTCTCGCGCAGTTTGCTCTTTAAATTCTTGCTGGAGTTGGCCTCCGTCAGGCAGGGTTCGTTCTCCGGATGGTCGTGCTCTGGACCATCGGTGGGAGACTGCACATGACCCTCCTCTAGCTGAACCTTGCCCAGGTGACGACGATAGCGGTACCACACCTTTAAACCCAGCACCAGCACGAAGTACAGGAAGGCCAGGCATATAATCACGATTATAATCCTGGTCACTATGGAATTGGAGGCCGATTTACTCGACCTGACCACCAGCAGGACATCTTCTCTCTTTAGTCCCGCACTGCTGCCAATGGTGCAGCCATAGCGTCCCTCATCCTCAGGTCTTACGTTCCTTATCTCCAGTGTTCCATTCTCCATTAGCGTGAAGCGTTCTTCATCCGTGTTGTTCTCGTTCAAATAAGTGAGATCCTTGTCCCAACGAATCGTGGGTTTGGGTTCTCCAATGGCCTGGCAGTGGATTACGGCCGTACCCGTTTCCTGCACTTCGATGGGTCCCTCTGGGGGCACACTAAACTTGGGCGCCACCACCACATTAATGGAGACGGTGGCACTGATTTGTCCCTGACTGTTCGAGGCTATGCAGGTGTACTGGCCACGCTGCTCATTGGTGACCTGGCTGAAGATCAGAGTTCCATTCTGATCGGTCACGTTAGCAGGTAGAGGTAGTTGGGTTTCCTGGAAAGGGGGATAAGGAAACAATTAAAGAAATAAGTAAAGTATATTTCATGAATTTCAGTTAATAGTTTTCCCAATATAAAAGCCTTGTAAATCTCTAAAAAAATTTAACAACTTACCCTGGTCCACTTGACCTGCGGTGGCGGTGTTCCCTGCGCCTTGCAGTGAACTTTGCTCAGCGTTCCCAGCTCCAGATTCTTGGACGTGGGCTGTGGCATAAACTTAAGTTGCTCAATCACAGTCAGAACTCCACTAACAGAACTGGCAGCCACCGAGCCCTCGATGACCAACTGACACTGATACTGGCCTGCATCGCTGGCCAGGACACTGTTAAACTGCAGGGAACCGCTATCTTTCACCAGAGACACTCGCGAATCCTCGCGCAGCATGGTCTCCAGCTGAGGTTCGCTGGTGGTGCTGCTCATCCGGCCCAGCTCCACCTGGCGAAGGGTTTTGTTATCCTTTCGCCAGCGCAGGATCACGCTATTTTTCTGAAGATAATCCTCTGAGAGTTGGTACTCACAGGGCAGTTGCAAAGAACTCTGTTCCTTGATGGTAATCGCAGATTGGGGGCCCTTTGTGATGCTCACATCCTCGAAAGATAAGGGGACAGCTAAAGGAGAGGTGAGAAAGGAGGGATTACGAAATACTGCGAGATGAGTCAGTCAGGGGATTTAGCTCACCGTAACAGCAAAAGATCAGGCAGAAGAATCCCAGGCCGCAGCTCAACAATCGTCTTCCGTTCAGCTCCATTTCGGGCTGAAGAATTCTTTTGATTTCACTTCTTTCTTCCTTCGTTTCCTTTGCTGTTCTTCGCTTTTTTCTGTTTTTTTTTGCACAAAAACCGGTGTGTGTGCTCTTCTTTGCCTCTTGTTTATTTGCCGATTTTTGAAGGAATTCCGTTTTGCCTTCGTCGGATATAGTATTTTTCCTTTTTTCTCGCTTCACTTCACCTCACTTCATTTCACTCCGCACTGAGAGTGGAGAGCATTTGCTTTATGGTTATTTTTATGTTACGCACACGCGTCACGCTTTATTATCCTGCCGCAGACGCACAGCCCGGGGATCTTTTCGAGCGATTTAACGGCGACCGACCAAGTAGCTGCTGCTGTCTGAGGAGGCACAACCTTCCGCGTTCGGCTTCGGAACTCTACTGACGCCGCATCGGGCTAATTTAACGCTGGCCAGCGGCAGCCAGTCGTTGCACGGTTCGCACATGCGCCCTCGAGAGCCGGGTAAGAGCAACTCTGAGAGATACTACCTACTACTTTTTACTCAGCTGCTACTACTACTACTAATTTAGGTACTAAAAAACCTACCTTTTTCGTATTTGATACGTTTTTCTTACCTTTATGATATATATTGGTTTCTTATGCTTAGTTTTTTCATAAACTAAACTTTCTGGAGAAAACATGTAAAATATGAATTATTTCTTAAATTTTTTTTTTTTAATTTAATTATTTCTTTTCGAAATTTTCAATAATAAAAATAACCTTTATGTTTAATTTAAATGTGTTTTTATAATAAATACATATATGTTGGACTTAAAAAAGTAATACAGACTAAAAAGAATACATATTCAAGTTACCGAAATACAAACAGCGTTTAATTGGAGGACATGGGTTACATTTGTTATCAAATCTAAACACATAAAATCAGCAATTTGGTCTAGTTAATTTTTACAGTACATTTTTTAAGGCTACTAAAAAAGTAACTAATTTAATATATATGCATATATGCTACTTGGCTATAAATACAATTCAATCAATCTCCTGGGGTGTGTGTTATATTTATTCGAGCAAATTTTGAGAATCTTGGGCTTATTGTCGTGAGGAGTAGACTCTCCAGTCTAAAATTGAGGTATGGTCGAGACGCGATTGTACAACGTCTGACGTTTGGCCACGCGAAAGGGACAGCGGGTCATCATTTTGAAGACTACGGCACCGCAGACCACAAAGAGGCCCCAAAAGATATAGGTGAAGAGCAGGATAAACCGATTCGGCTGCCACAAAACCGTGTAGCTTAGGTTGTAGTTTTCTACAACAAAGAAAAAGCTAAAAATCTATCTAGGAAATAATATAAACCCGCTTTAAACTCACCCAACACCGCATAACCCATGCCAATCTTGGACTTTCCCATGCGATAAGAGCATGTGGGCACCATGATCTCCAGATAGCTGTGCTCCTCTTCCTTCAGAGCCTTCAAATCAAAGTGGCGCACAGAGTTCTCGTAAAAGTTGATCACCTTGGTGGAGGGATAAATAAAGATTCTCGATTCGTGCCAGTGGCCTGAGAAAATGATATGTGGATCCAAGTCGCTGATGATGGCCCTCAGCAAGGGCCCGCCACCAATGAGCAGCGGGGCATGCGAGACACCAATCCTCAGGCGATCCTGATTGTGATCTCTATCCGGATTGTTAAAGTCCAGGAGCATGCGGTTGATTTTAAAAAAGCGCAAGCGATTGTCATAGTCGAAGAGGTCCTCACTCATGAATTCGTTCTCGAAGCGCCTCTGGTTCGAGTTGGATATGTAGTCGCCGTTCTCTCCGCCAATATCATTGTCGCCCGGCACATGAACGCGCTGGAAATAGGCCGAGATCATGCGGAACTGTTAGGTGGTTAATAGGCTAGGATCTGGCTCAGCTTACCTTTCTAAAGTTCTTGTTCTGGTAGATGCGTTTGAAGCGCTGCACATACTGCTTGTACTCCTGGGCGGTGGCTATGTTGCCCTCATCCAGCAGATCGCCCAGGAAAACGATGATGTGCGGCTGCGTAAAGTGAAGAGCGCGCTCAAAGGTCTTTGCCAGGTATCTATCCGAATCGTACCTGGCCAGCGGACTGTGCGAGGAGCGATCGTAGGAGTTGCCCAGGATCTGCGGATCCGCAATGAGCAGCAGGCGTGTGCAGTTGTCTAAATAGATTGTTTATACATCCAAATAACAAAGGCTCGACAAGGAAACTGGGTTAAAGAGCGCTTACCCAGTTTGCAATCGATTCGCTGCCAACTGGACTGGGCCAGGTAGTACACGATGAACTCGTTGAAGAAGACCAGCAGCAGCGTCAAAGCCACAAAGCCGCGACACACTAATCTGTTTCTTGGATTACAGGCAGGATTAGGAGGATACTATAATACAAACCTGTAAGCACCTACCTATTAACTACGCGCAAGGAAGCCATAATCTGGGCTATCCTACATCGATTTGGAAAGCTTCAATAATACTCTCGGTTGTCCTCTGTCCTCTGGCAACTGCAAGTGCGTTACATTGCGTCGACGGCGTCTATATTTAAACGTTTGCTGACCGTGCAATATTTACGTAATGCTGCTCATAATTTCGGGAATGTGCAATGTGGAGCCGCTGCGATGGGCGGCGGTCAACTGGCGAGCACCGCCGCCACACAAGTTTCAGGGCACGGGCTAAATTGGATTAGAAGACCGGAACATGAGAAGCGGCAAGAACAGCATGTTTGGGGCCCTTCTATACCTTTTACAGGTGTTTTGGCCATTCGCGCCATTGGCCATTCAAACGCGGAGGATACCGTTACACCGTTTGCCGGCTGCAAGCACAAATAATTGTGCAATTACGGCGTGCACACATAAACAAAGATAACAAGCACAACAAACAAATCTAGGGATGGGTGCGTGTCCAAGCTTGCAGCACGCAGGAGCAAGGAAAACCGGTTAACTTGGCCTCCAAGCAACCATTATTATTTATTTTGTTTTATTTTGAAAGTATAAAATATAGGTTTTTGAGACTTTTAAATAAAAACATGTTCCAGTAAATGGTTAAAAACAGTTTGTGGTCTTTATTAAATACAGGATATTTTGTCCATACACGAACACGAAATTTTGTTCAAACTGCCACCTCTATCGTGAGTCGTCACGAGTCTTGTGCCCACCTTTGACACCAACAACACGTCACTGACAAACAGCTGATCCGATAATCGTCCCCAGTTATCGATGACAACCAAGGCATTTACTCCCGCCATCTGGCAACGCTGCGTGCGTGGATTAATGGCGTGCCACTCCGCATAAATGCTCAAGAGTTTTTCTTTTTATTAACCACATACGCGCCGCAAAACCAAACAATCCCAGCGGCTGAACATGTGTACATAGCGACGCACCCTCGCGATCTTAACCAGAGTGCAGTGACTATCCGTTGTCGAGCGTTAGCGGAGTGTGATAGCAGCGGCTCGCAAAATTGCCAAAAAATTTTGCCGCTGCCTGGTCATTGTGAAAAGTAAGAAAGCAAAGCCAAACGGCGTCTCCTATTAGCATAAAATGCTGGGATAGTGCTCCAGCAGAGTCGAGCGTGGTAATCCGTGTGCTGGCTGGCAGTTTGTTGGCTGGGAAGCGTTGGGAAAAAGCGCTGCACCGACCGAATTCGCCAATGTCCGTGTGAGTGCTTTGCTGCGCTGCGATGTGCGTGTGTGTGAGTGGGGGGCTGACTGAGTGCCTGTGTGTGTTTATGGCTTGACAATGCCACCCTCCTCCGATTTTTCACTGTTTGGGGGTCGCTGAAATTGTTGTTATTACGCGTCCACTGAATCCCCTGGCTTGCAGGTAGCGGTAGCTTCCTTCGCGTTCGGCGAGGATGGCGGACATTGTGTACCCCAACGGATGTCGGCCGCTGGTCGAGGATCTTGGCACCGATGAGCTGATACGGAGACTCAAGGTTAGTTCTTGCAGTTAACTATTTTTCCCAGAGTTACCCCAAAAAACCCTTCCCAGACCCTTGCCAATGTGCTGCAGACCATGGACCAGGACGACAATCTCTACCAGCAGTACATACCGCTGGCGCTTCACCTGCTCGATGACTTCTTCATGCAGCACCAGTCCCGCGATGTCCAGCTGCTAATTGCCTGCTGCGTGGCAGATGTCCTGCGTGTGTACGCCCCCGAGGCGCCCTACAAGGAGCAAGATCAAATCAAAACCATTTTTAAGTTTTTCATCAAGCAACTGCACGGGCTGAAGGACCCGCGCGATCCGTCCTTCAAGCGTTACTTTTATCTGCTAGAGAATCTGGCCTTTGTGAAATCTTTTAACATGTGTTTCGAGCTGGAGGACTGCCAGGAGATCTTTCAGGAGCTATTTAGCACCATATTTAAAATTGTGAAGTAAGCGGGCGTACCATTTTAACCGATGGATCCACAAAATAAAGCATATATAATATATTTCTGTTGCAGCGATCAGCACAGTGTCAAGGTCACCAATTTTTTCCTAGACGTCCTGAGTCCTTTGATTACGGAAGCGGATAATCTCTCAGTGGAACTGCTAGACCTTATACTTATCAACATTGTGGAGCCGCACAAATCAAACAACAAGTATGCCTGCCAGCTGACGGAGCAACTCCTGACCAAAACAGGCGATGCTCTGGAGTCCACCATTAAAATGGTAATAGATTAACTTCAAGTAAGCTTGGGCTTGGGTCTATATCGCTTTTATCTCTCTCAGTTCTTCAATCGCGCTTTGGTTATTGATAAGCCCAACACCAGACTGTCCATAACAAACAAAATCTACGATGTCATCTATGAGCTTAATCGCATCAATGGAGACCTGCTCATCTCAGTGCTGCCACAGCTGGAAAACAAGCTGCTGTCCACGGACGATGGTGAAAGGCTGAGTAAGAAATCAATTATCATCATACCTTTTTTTTAAATATTAATTAATATATACTTTCACAGAGGCCACCACACTCTTGGCTCGCATGTTCTCCGAGAAGGACTCGCAGCTGTCAAAGAAATATCAAAACCTGTTGAAAATCTTCTTTGGGCGCTTTTGCGACATCACCGAGCCCGTTCGCGTCAAGTGCGTCCAGTCGTCTATGCACTTCCTCCTGAATCATCCGCACCTGCAAACCGATATCACTGACAAGCTGAGGCTAAGGAATCATGACCTGGACGAAATGGTTCGCCACGAAGTGGTAATGGCCATTGTCGAGACTGCCAAAAGGGACTTTAATCTGGTTCTGGAGGCGCCCGATCTGCTGGATATTGTGCGCGAAAGGACACTGGACAAGAAGTACAAGATCAGGAGGGACGCCATGAACGGGCTGGCCTACATTTACAAGCGAGCGATATGCGAGCCCAACGATCTGAGTGCCGAGCTCAAGCAGCGGGTGGACTGGATCAAGAACAAGATTCTGCATGGCTATTACAAGGTGGGCCTGGAGGATCGCTTGCTTGTGGAGCGCCTGCTTATCACCTGCCTGGTGCCCTACAAACTGGCTCCCGAGGAGCGCATGAAGAAGCTGTACCACCTGCTCGGCGACCTGGATGCGAATGCCACCAAAGCCTTTGTTGAGCTGCAAAAGAACCAGATGAAGACCCGAAATACGGTCAGCGACTGGATAAAGCTGCATCACTCCAAGGAGTTTACGCCGCGAGTGCTCAATCAGCTGAGCGCCAAGCAGGCCACCATTGCCAAGTGCGTTTGAAATGGAATGGTGTTTCTGGAGGAAGGAAACTAATGCTCTCTCTTTACAGATTGCTGCCCGATCCCCTGAAAGCGGCCGAGTACCTAACCCAGTTTAGCAACCACCTGCGCAAGGATGCCCAGCTACTGCGCTGCATTAACATTGTGCTCAAGCGCGACGTCAGCTGCCGGGAATGCGCCGATACAATGGGCGTTCTCCTGAAAAAGCTGGGTGCCCATGTTCATTCCAATCTGTACTATAACACGGTTAAGATGCTGATTGAGCGTGTGGCGTCCGTGATGGTGGACAAGGAATCCATTGGCGTGCTGATTAGGTAAGCCGCAAAAGCAATCTTAATTTGATTCTTCGCTAAATCCTCTTATCTCACTCTGCAGTCTCATCGAGCAGTGCATTGAGGGTGGTCCCATGTGCGATGAGATTGGGATATCGCGCCAGGAGGCGGGTGAGCGCGGTCTCAAGCTGTTAAGTGTGAGTTCTCTCATAAATATGGAGTAAGCGAGAACATTACCAAAGTTTTTCCCCACTTCCAGATGCTTTCCTATGTGTTCTCGGCACACTTCTTCACCGACACCTCGCTGCGTCACTTGATTTCCCTGCTGAGCTACGAGAACGACTATGTCGCTCCCCTGGTGCTGAAGACGCTCACCCATTTGGGACGTTATCAGCCCCTGATAGACGATGCCACACCGGTCATTCTGAATGAATTGGCCCCTGTGTGTCGGGACTTTGCACTGATAGGAACTCCCAAGCAGGCCAAGCATGCGGTGCGTTGTATTTTCGTAAACAGTCAATCATCGGCGGCCACAGATGGAGCGTCGGGTGGCTCTGGTAGTGCGTCTACCACAACTCAGACAGTGCATCCTATTTTCAATGAGATAATCGAGACGCTGCGTCTGAAGCTGACGCCCAACTGCGAGTATCAACGCACAAAGATCGTGGCCTTGGGTCATATTGCCTACAATATGCCGCAGGCTTTCCTTACGCCCATCAAAAACATGATTGCACGTCGCATTGTCAAAGAGCTGCTCATCCAGGAGGTTCCAGTGCAGCGGGATTACGAGTTGCCCGAGGAAAGCGATTGGTGTGCCCAAGAGGAACTGCCGCCGGATACGCTGTGCAAGCTGGACGCCCTTAAGACCATGGCACGCTGGCTTTTGGGCCTTCGTACCGATGAGCATGCCGCCCAGAAAACATTCCGTATGCTGGCCGCATTCGTTAACCAGCGGGGTGATCTCCTCGGCCAGAACCGCCTGTGCGGAGCCGAGAAATCCTGGCTGCGCCTGGGAGCGGCCTGTGCTATGCTCAAGGTCTGTGAGCAGAAGGGCGTGGGCGATCAGTATAGTGCCGAACAGTTTTTGCAGCTCTCCCAGCTTATGGTAAGCGGTGTTACCTCTTTCTTTCCACTACAGAAATAGTTGAGCATTGTATTCTATTTTTCTCCAGGCTGATCCTGTGCCGGAGGTGCGGGAAATCTTTGCCAGGAAACTGCACAAGGGTTTGGGTAGAAGTTTGCCTAGGAATTGCCTGCCCCTGGACTTTATGGGCTTGTATGTACTGGCTGGTCTGGAGACGGACAGAAAGTGAGTAAATTCAAGTAGATCCTGTAGCCATTAACTTCTTATTCTCATCCTTAGATTACAAGACCTGGTGCGGCACTATGTGGACACGGACGTGAACAAACGTCGGGAATATCTCAAGACTGTGGCGATGACATGTAAATACTTGTAGCTCCTTGTGGACAATTTTAATGCAAACCTTATTGCAGCACCCGACAGCTCAACGGAATCACAATCCTTGCACATTCTACCTGACTACATGCTGGCCTTTGCCATTCCCGTGCTGGTCCACGATCCCCGCTTCACGAACCACGAGGACTACGTCCAGCTGCGCAAGATGGAGAAGTGTTTGCGGTTCGTTTTAGAGCCCTTGATGGCTAAGCGCGAATCGTTTGTCCACAGCTTCTACAAGCAGCTGCTGCAGCTGATAAAGGTTCGCGAGTTTAGCCAGGGCTCGGATAAGCGTGACAATTATGTATGTATCTTTAGAGTTGACCAGAGCTACCCATTTAACAGCTTCCTTTCTTTGGTTATTAGAAAATGTGGGCACTCTGCGATCTCGCCATGTACATTATCGACTCCAAATTCAGTCCATTCGATGGCAACACCACCACATTCTCCATGCCGCTGGCTCTGCCAGAAATGTATTATAAGCAGCCTTCCGTCGCCAACTTCCAGAACAACGAGGTCTATATACCGCTGGACGTGTATACGGTGGGCGCCAAGACGTCTGGCAAAGGCGGTCCCACGGCCACGTCGCGCGCGGCCACAGCTACAAAGAGGCCAGCGGAACCGGCGTCGATTCTGGATGATGAGAATCCGCAGGTAAGCGGTGCAGATTATAATAGCATACTAGAACTGTTTCTTAAAAGTTTGGTTTTTGGTTTTTTAGGAGAATAAAATTTTTGACAACATACGGGCAGCAGACACCACAGAGCCAACGGCCAAAAGAACGCGCGCGGGAGCCGCCACAGCCAAATCGTAGAGGCTGTAGGGGGAGAGCGGGGAGAGCTGTTTGAGCGAGCGCATAATTGTTAGTTTAGTTACTGTTAGTCTAGGCGCCTAAGTTAACTAAATATTTAAGTCATACGGCGGAGTTACGATAGTTGTTAAACCGACACTACCTACAACATGCACCAATCAGAACCAGATCACTCTTGGAACAACCCTCCTTAGATTATTCCGATTCGCAACCCAATTTGTACCATATTCCATTTAAAAAACGAGCAAGAGAGACACCGTAAAAGTCGCGTAATGTGTCGTCGTCGGATTTGTTAACCATATCTCTATAAAATTAATTATTTATCAGTTTTCAATTAATAATTATGTTTTTAAATTGTGACCCCTTTTGGTTGGATTTTACTACCTTAGTTGTAGGCCTCATTGTATATCGAATAAACGAAAAGAAACTGAAGAGAATTAGCTGGAGTACGAAGCGTAAAGTAATGAAAACGTAAACAGAGCCTTATTAAGAAATTAAAATTAACTTTTCTATGATCGCGGTTAACTTTTAGTTAATATAAAATACACCAACAATCATGATACATAATACATACTTTACGAGCTAGACGCGACGACGCGAATGCATTAAAAATGTATTTGAAAAACAAAGATCGAAAATGTTGTAAGGATTGGAATAAAATATAACAATAATATAAATGAAGCAAACAAAAAATACACATACACATTTAACTTAAAAACGAAAACGTGTACATTAACTATTATTACTGTTTTTCAATTATAAAATAAACATAAAAACATGATTATTTTGAATTCTTTTACAATTGGATTTAACTTCAAATTTCCGATTCCGATACGCATCGAACTATCGATAGGCGAGTGCAACACATCGGCAAGCGTCAATGTGTGTTTGCCCACCACTAGTCCAATTGCACTTTTTCGGGGGTGTGTGTGCGTGATTTTCTTTTTCTTGTTTATTATTTGTTTTTGTGAATTAAATTTAACGTTTTGTGCGCCAATTTAAAGTGGATCCAACCAGGGGGCTTGTTGTCAACAAAGGGATTTGAACAAAGGCTGCTCCAATAACTGCAAACACCGGCAAAACAACAAAATGCAGGTGGAGGCAATCAACGAGTGCCCTGACGTCACGCTCGGGCAGCAGCTGAAAAACAAAACCAATGGGATTTCCTCGCCCACAGCCAGAAGTAAAACAAACGGGGAACCGAGCGCACGGATCTATACCTCCACTCCGAAGACCTCTTACCCAAGACTTCAGCAGTTCGCGGGCGTTGCGGAACCCACGGCAAAGGGGCGTGTGGGCGTGGTGGCACTAGCACTCGACCCACGGATCAAGACTGCGGCCGTTCTCTTTGGCCTACTGATTATCGGCTACAAAATCGTCATCCTAGCCAGTAAGTGTGCCAAGTTGAGGGCCACATATCATATTTTTTGCTTGTTTATATACATTGTCCGTGCCCCCTTCCCCATTTGAGGGGGAGGACACTACACTCAAGGCTGCAATTGTCGGCGGTGACGCGTACTCATCGGTAGTTTGTTTATATTTTGCGTTTATAAATAGTTTAAGAGCGTGTGATCTCATAGCGGTGTGTTTGTTCCGTTCGCTTTGTTGTTCCTCCCCCCTCAGCTTGCCCTCCTCTGCAATGCCAAACGGCGAAATAACGTCTAAATAAAGCAGGCAACTGTGTGTTGCGCATTTCGCTTTGGCTGGAGATTCTCATTTGCATACATATATGTGTATATATTTACCTCAAGTCGGAGTCAGTCAAAGAGTGATTAGTTACTGCTATTTTCCCTAGCTAGAAGGTGATTAGTTACTTAATTGTGTGCCCCCTCCCGACGGCGATCTTTCTTGGGCTTAACGGTATTTGTCACCTAGGGTCACGCGACAAATACATTAACGAAAGGCATGCATATGTATTAATGATTAGAGAGAAATACCGCTAGAGAAACCTTAAAGAAAATTCGCAATAATGTAGAATTAGGATGGCTCTCTTATTGTTATTCTTAAAAAGAAACTGAAAAGCTGAGTTTAATATTAAGACAAAAGAAAGTCTACAGAATTATTCTAAAAATAAGACAAAAATTAATATTTCCAATTAGAAATAAAGAAAACTTGTTAGATAAGAACCTTACTTGGTGAGAAACTCTTTCCACTCTACTGAAAACCATATATTTTTTGACGTGTTTATCGTGATAAGACTGATAACACAGGGAAATCAATATAACGCCACTCACAAACTGAGATACTAACGAGCTGTTTCTTTACAGTGCCTTATATCAGCGCCGACTCCATCCAGGTGTGGAGCCGCCAGGTGCAGGGTCAGTGGAACGAGACCTTGGCGTGGGCCGACAAGCACCAGCTCAGCGCCAAGCTGAGTCCACTGCTGTGTGGTCTACTTGTGTCGGCATTAGCCTACGGAATTGTGTACTTGGACAGCGCAGTGCCCGGCGTGAATCCGCCCTCGCCCTTTTCGCCACGTTCCAAGAAGCGGTGAGGACCGACCCCAAAGACACTGACCTTATGGCATTCGTTATTAACTATTTTGCTTTCAATTTGCAGTTTCCGTGATGAGAAGTCAGCCTCGCTGCACTTGGGCTACTTGTGCGCCCTGTCATGCGGGGTTTTCGTCGCGCTCTTTATGTACTTCGACTTGTATTCGTAAGAGATGAGTCCCACTTACTTCCACTTAGTTAGAAATCTACAACAGTATTAGAGTTTAATCAGTCTCTATTTTGGAATTTGTATCAATTTGTAACCGTATATTTAGTCTTTGTAATTGTGCAATGCTCCTGGAGAGATGGTACCACCACTAGGGCATCGTTTTGAAGCTAACTTAGTTCCTAGTTATATAAATATTATAAATTATATAAGTTAAATACTAAATCCCTAACTTATTCAGTTGATTTCTCACCAACAACTATTAAAGAGTACAAAATGAAACACATTTCAATGCAGATTCCACGGGCCAGGCTAGGAAATTTTACATATATTGTCGCCTGGCCCTGAGAATCGCGAGAAAACTATATATGGAAATGAAATTCCAAAAAAAATAAATTACTTATGCACATTGTTTTGCATTAAAATATATGTGGTTAGATTCTCTAGGCGCATGAATTGCTGATCCCAGTCAATGTCGCTTACCTGGGCGATCTTGAACGTTTGCATACGATTGTCGCCGATAAACTGACCCACCAAATGGATGTAGCAGCCTGGAAATGGCTTCAAATAGAAGTTGAAAGTTTAATTTATAGATTTCTTAAACTTGCCTGGGGTCCATGACTTTAAAATGCCATCGAAATCATAATAGATGCCCTGGATAATGGGCCCTGAGCCTTCGTTACGGACCAAAAGGGTTCGCTCTCCGCGCTTTCCCTCAATAATGCGGAGCAGTTTTCCTGAAATTTAAATTTGAAGTGATTTTTTAAGTTTTAACTAAAATAAATTTTAAAATTTAAGTAATATTTTTAAAGTGCAGACCCACCATAAACATTCCAAATGGCATTCAACTCCGGATACATTTTATGCATTTTAAGGCAGAAATCCACTCGTCCGATTAAGCTCACTAAATCCCGTCCTGGCTTCGACATTGGCGAACTTGGCAACCCTGTTGGAGCCTTCTCCTCCTTGGGGGGCTTCTCCTCCACAATTGGAGTCGGTACGTAGACAAACTCCTGCTTGGGCCGAGGTTTTTGCTCGACAAATCCTTCGTATCTAAGCTTGTTGTCCTTCTGGCAGATAGTTAACTTGGTTTGCCTAAGTTGGCTACCATTTTTGCGAGCGAGATCGGCGGCCGTTGGAAAGCTGAGATTAAACTGCGAAGCATTGTCGACCAATTGACTCTTGAACTTGGCCTGACTATTCAGCGGAATACGGGGCTTTCCTGGGAGTTGATGAAATGTTTTAAATTGAATTTAAATGTTTGTAATTTCTAAATTTTACCTTTGGCGAACATTTTAATGGGGAGAAAATTCTAACGGATTTTTAACTGTCCTACATCAAGTGTGACCTGCCGCCACGAGGCAGTGTTGGCTAACAATGAGTCAAAAATATCGATTTATCGATTTTGGAATCGATTTCAGTTCCACCTCTAGCCTTGTCCACGCGAGTTATTTTATTATTTAAACTAAATTTTGTTGATAGCTGGGATCTGTTAGGGAACCGCACTGACCTGCCATGAGCACAATTTTGGAGAAAATCGCGGCCATCGAGTCGGAGGTGAGTTATAGACGCAACACCTGCGGACCGGCCGGAAACTAACCTGTCTCGCATCCCATCTCTCCCCCGCGGATCCACTACCTCGCCGCCCGTGTCTTCGTCGTACCTGGGACTTCTTGGATCTCAACAGATGGCCCGCACCCAGAAGAATAAGGCGACATCGGCGCATTTGGGTCTGCTTAAGGCGAAGCTGGCCAAGCTGCGACGTGAGCTGATTTCTCCCAAAGGCGGCGGCGGTGGCACCGGCGAAGGTGAGTTTGTAAGCTTGTAAACTTGCTCCACTTACAAATGATGTCTCCCCCACAGCTGGCTTCGAGGTGGCCAAAACCGGAGATGCCCGGGTGGGTTTCGTGGGTTTTCCCTCCGTGGGGAAATCCACGTTACTTTCCAATCTGGCCGGCGTTTACTCCGAGGTGGCGGCCTATGAGTTCACCACGCTCACGACGGTGCCCGGCTGCATCAAGTACAAGGGCGCCAAGATCCAGCTGCTGGATTTGCCCGGAATTATTGAGGGCGCCAAGGATGGCAAGGGTCGTGGTCGACAGGTGATAGCGGTGGCTCGTACCTGTAACCTCATCTTCATGGTGCTGGATTGCCTCAAACCGCTGGGTCACAAGAAGCTGCTGGAGCACGAGTTGGAGGGCTTCGGCATTCGGCTGAACAAGAAGCCGCCAAATATTTACTACAAGCGGAAAGACAAGGGCGGCATAAACCTCAACTGTATGGTGCCGCAGTCCGAACTGGACACGGATCTGGTCAAGACCATTCTGTCCGAGTACAAGATACACAATGCGGACATCACGCTGCGGTACGACGCCACCAGTGACGACCTGATCGACGTCATCGAAGGCAACCGCATCTACATACCCTGCATCTATCTGCTGAACAAGATCGATCAGATCTCCATCGAGGAGCTGGACGTAATCTACAAGATCCCCCATTGCGTGCCCATCTCGGCGCATCATCATTGGAACTTTGACGATCTGCTGGAGCTGATGTGGGAATACCTGCGACTTGTGCGGATCTACACCAAGCCCAAGGGACAACTGCCTGACTACAACTCGCCCGTGGTGCTCCACAACGAGCACACGAGCATCGAAGACTTTTGCAACAAGCTGCATCGCTCCATTGCCAAGGAGTTTAAATAGTGAGTTGAACTAAGGGTTTCCTTTGAAGATTTTGTATTAAATTCTGATTATTTTCAGTGCGCTGGTCTGGGGCTCTTCGGTGAAGCATCAGCCGCAAAAAGTGGGCATTGAGCATGTTTTGAACGACGAGGATGTGGTGCAGATTGTAAAGAAAGTCTAGAATTGCGGTGAAACGGTTATGCTTTTTTTAATGTTCGATTGCATTTTTTATTTGGAAATAAAAAAGAGATTGTTCTGTAGCTTGGATTTTGTATTACATTGAAGTTTTGGTAACGGTTTTTGTGAGATACAAATAAAACAAATAAAATTGAAGATATAAATTTTGATTTTTGCGCCCAAAAGTGTTTACAACACTTGCCAACACTGAATACATCGATCTGGCAACGATACATGTTTTGATCCAAAAAGTGTGACCAAATATCTTGAAACCAAAAATACTTTAATTTTTACAACGTACTTAAACAATATAAACTAAAAACCTGTCGAGCACACTGAGCTTTATTTTTTAATATTTCAAATAATAAATAACTATTATGGTGGAGCGCAAGAAGGTGGATTCCAACGTGGAGGCCATGACCTGGGAGCCCGGCGACAGCAAGGACTGGGCCACACCCATCAAGCCGCTGTCGGAGAAGTGGAAGCTGCTGCCGGCATTCCTACAGGTTAAGGGCCTCGTGAAGCAGCACATTGATTCCTTCAATCACTTCATAAACGTGGACATCAAGAAGATCGTTAAGGCCAACGAGCTGGTGACCAGTGGCGCTGATCCGCTCTTCTACTTAAAGTACCTGGATGTGCGCGTGGGCAAGCCGGACATCGATGAGGGCTTCAACATCACCAAGGCGACCACGCCACACGAGTGCCGCCTGCGGGACACCACTTACTCCGCGCCCATCACCGTGGATATCGAGTATACGCGAGGTACGCAGCGGATTAAGAGGAACAACCTGTTGATTGGCAGAATGCCTCTCATGCTGCGGTGCTCCAACTGTGCGCTTACCGGGAAATCGGAGTTTGAGCTGTCCAAGTTGAATGAATGTCCCTTAGATCCAGGCGGTTACTTTGTGGTGCGCGGCCAGGAGAAGGTTATCCTTATCCAGGAGCAGTTGTCGTGGAATAAGATGCTTACTGAAGACTTTAACGGCGTGGTTCAGTGCCAGGTCACCTCCTCCACGCACGAGAAAAAGTCCCGTACCCTGGTGTTGAGTAAACATGGAAAATACTACCTAAAGCACAACTCGATGACGGATGACATACCCATTGTGGTGATCTTCAAAGCCTTGGGAGTCGTTTCCGACCAGGAGATCCAGGCGCATATTGGCATTGATGCCAGGTCGCAGAATAGATTCGGGGCCTCCCTGCTAGAGGCTTTTAATCTGAAGGTGTTTACCCAGCAAAGGGCCCTGGAGTATATGGGTGAGTACGCCTGGATTCATTTCTATATTCCTTCAATAAAATCTGATCCTTTTGGCAGGCTCTAAGCTGGTGGTCAAGCGCTTCCAAAGCGCCACCACAAAAACCCCCTCGGAGGAAGCACGTGAGCTGCTGCTAACCACTATTCTGGCCCACGTGCCCGTGGAGAATTTCAACTTCCAAATGAAGGCCATCTACGTGTCCATGATGGTGCGCCGAGTGATGGCCGCCGAGCTGGATAAAACCCTCTTTGACGATAGGGATTACTATGGAAACAAGCGCTTAGAGTTGGCCGGCTCCATGATTTCCCTCATGTTCGAGGATCTATTCAAGCGGATGAACTGGGAGCTAAAGACCATTGCGGACAAGAATATACCCAAGGTGAAGGCGGCCCAGTTTGATGTTGTGAAGCATATGAGAGCGGCGCAGATCACAGCGGGATTAGAGTCAGCCATCAGCTCTGGCAACTGGACCATCAAGCGCTTCAAGATGGAAAGGGCAGGCGTCACGCAGGTTCTGTCCCGTCTCAGTTATATATCCGCCCTGGGCATGATGACGCGCGTAAACTCGCAGTTCGAGAAGACCCGAAAAGTGTCCGGGCCACGTTCCCTGCAGCCTAGTCAGTGGGGCATGCTGTGTCCCTCGGATACGCCCGAGGGCGAGGCCTGCGGGTTGGTCAAGAATCTGGCTCTAATGACGCACATCACCACGGAGGTGGAGGAGGCACCGGTGATGGTTCTGGCCTTCAATGCCGGCGTCGAGGATATCCGGGAAGTAAGCGGCAATCCAATCAACAATCCAAACGTCTTTTTGGTCTTCATCAATGGCAATGTCCTGGGACTGACTTTGAACCACAAGCATCTGGTGAGGAACCTTCGTTATATGCGACGGAAGGGCCGCATGGGCAGCTATGTGTCCGTGCATACATCCTACACCCAGCGATGCGTCTACATTCACACGGACGGCGGGCGCTTGTGCCGTCCCTACATCATTGTGGAGAAGTGCCGTCCGCGGGTGAAGCAGCATCACCTGGACGAGCTAAACCGCGGCATCCGCAAATTCGATGACTTCCTCCTGGACGGACTCATCGAGTATTTGGATGTGAACGAGGAGAACGACTCGTTCATAGCCTGGAGCGAAGAGCACATTGAGGAACGCACCACGCACTTGGAGATTGAGCCCTTCACCTTGCTGGGCGTGTGCGCCGGCCTGGTGCCGTATCCGCATCACAACCAAAGTCCCAGGAACACCTACCAGTGCGCTATGGGTAAGCAGGCGATGGGCATGATTGGCTACAACCAGAAGAACCGCATCGATTCGCTGATGTACAATCTGGTGTATCCCCAGGCGCCCATGGTCAAGACCAAGACCATCGAGCTCACCAACTTTGACAAGCTGCCCGCTGGCCAGAATGCCACAGTGGCTGTGATGAGCTACTCCGGCTACGATATCGAGGATGCTTTGATCCTGAACAAGGCCTCGATTGATCGGGGCTATGGACGCTGTCTGGTCTACAAGAACTCCAAGTGCACGGTCAAACGGTATGCGAATCAGACCTTTGACAGGATCATGGGTCCGGTCAAGGATGCCCTCACCAACAAGGTGATCTTTAAGCACGATGTCTTGGACACTGATGGCATTGTGGCGCCCGGCGAGCAGGTTCAAAACAAACAAATCATGATAAACAAGGAGATGCCGGCGGTGACTTCGATGAATCCCCTGGAGGGTCAATCTCCCCAAGTCCCCTACACAGCCGTCCCTATTAGCTACAAGGGCTCTGAGCCCAGCTATGTGGAGCGTGTGATGGTCTCCGCCAACTCTGAGGAGGACTTCCTCATCAAGATCCTGCTGCGTCAGACTCGAATTCCCGAGATTGGCGACAAATTCAGCTCGCGGCACGGGCAAAAGGGCGTCACGGGGCTGATTGTTGACCAGGAGGACATGCCCTACAATGACTTGGGTATCTGCCCGGATATGATCATGAACCCCCATGGTTTTCCCTCTCGAATGACGGTGGGCAAGACCCTGGAACTGCTAGGGGGCAAGGCGGGCGTGTTAGAGGGTAAATTCCACTACGGCACTGCCTTTGGCGGCTCCAAGGTACAGGATATCCAGGCGGAACTCGAGCGTCATGGTTTCAACTACATGGGCAAGGATTTCTTCTACTCGGGCATCACTGGCGCTCCCCTGGAGGCGTACATCTACTCGGGACCCGTGTATTATCAAAAGCTAAAGCACATGGTGCAGGACAAGATGCATGCTCGTGCCCGTGGCCCCAAGGCGGTACTCACCCGACAGCCCACGCAGGGCAGGAGTCGCGAGGGAGGCTTGCGTTTGGGTGAAATGGAGCGGGATTGCCTCATCTCGTACGGAGCCAGTATGCTGATTATGGAGCGACTGATGATCTCCTCGGACGCCTTCGAGGTGGATGTTTGCCGGACCTGCGGCAGGCTGGCCTACTGCTCCTGGTGCCACTTCTGCCAGTCCTCGGCCCACGTCTCCAAGATATCCATGCCGTATGCCTGCAAGTTGCTCTTCCAGGAGCTGACCAGCATGAATGTGGTGCCCAAGATGATTCTAGAGAACTATTGATGAGACTAACGAATAAAGTGTTTTGTTGTTTGTGACATAATTTTATAAGTAGAGTGGGCTTTTTATTTCGGATTTGGCCACAAAGCAGGCTGATCCACAAACGTCAGACTTGAAACCTTGATTTTAAAAAGGTTTACAGATAGTAGAAAGCAATATGTCCACGTGCTCAGATGCGAAAGATGTGGACTTTATGCGCTGTTTGCATTGTCAGAAGGTAATACGTTTCTCCCGCTGCGATCCCATCTGTCTGCTGCGCCACGTGGAGACGGATCACCCGAGTAAATGCACTGTGAACAGCCGAAAGTCCAAGGGCGGCTGCGAGTCCCAGATGTCCGAGAACATGGAGCAATCTAAGAAGACGGCGGCCTCATCCCAGAATTCCGAAAGTGAGCATTAAGATTGTTTAGAATTTATTTATAAAATTCAAAACTATATTTACGTTTAGCCAGCGAGAAGATCAAAAGAATGCACATGCTGGCCGCAGAGCATGGAATCAGCGAGGAACGCCTCTCGGAGATCAGCAGGAAGACGGGCCTCTCTGAAGAACAGATGGCCAATAAGGCGGAGGCATGTGAGTAGGCCTAAAGTCTTATTATTTATTTATTTATTAATAATATTTATATTTTAGATATGAAGAAAAAGGGTTATATCCCCTCCAGCCAAGTCTCTGGTGGTGGTGGCGAAAAGGGTTGCTGCCCAAACAGCGACGGTGGCTGCGAAAAGGAGGTGGCTCAACGAAGCAAGTGCTACAGGCTTTCCATCAGACGCTGGGTTCCGGGGGAGGGTTGCATCTTCTGTCCTTGCTGCGGCTGTCAGCGCCGTCCCATGATTAAGGCCGCTTCGGAGATCGTGACTACCCGCTGCTGTGCCGCCGCAATAGCGGTCTGCTGGCCATTGTGCTTGCTACCCTGCCTGGCCTCCTCGGATAACCGGGAGTATCTGTACTGCTCCAACTGCAATGCCTTTTTGGGCATTTACGAGCGAGAGAAGAGCTGTGTCAGGCCCAGTAGGGAGTTTGTGACTTGCTGCAACTCTGCCACGCCACCGCCCACACCGAAGTAGCCGAAGGGAAGTCCTTGTAATTTGGTATTTAAAATTTTTCGTATACCCATGGAGGAGGAGAGCCTTCTTGGAAAGCTTTGATCAAGTTTACACATATTGCTTTTTACGAAATAATAAAAATAAAATTCGAAAATATTGAAAACATTACTATAAAGTTTTTATTCTGATTTTTAATAAGATTTATTTATAAATAATTTAAATTAGAATTTCGCTTTTAGGAACTTTTACCCAATGTTCCTTTGACGCCCATCTCTCGCTCACAAATGTCAAAGTGAAGAGGTTCAAACGAAGTCCTACTTGAGTTTTAACGAGGTCCTGTTACAGGCAGCAGCGGCGCTACCCTTATTTTAGCAGAGTCCTGTTAGCTAGCGGTCCTAAGCTGGTAACTAAAATGAGATTAGCGGTGATAAGGCGATGCTGTTATCCCTTTTTAGGGCGCGCGGCGCAAGGAAAATTAGTTTTGTCTGCTTTTTGTTTGACAGTTGCTTAGGCCAAAATTTACAAGGTTTTCGCCAGCAAAAAAAAAAGCGATTAATAAGCGTGGGCAAGCTGTTGTTGTTGAGCTTGCAATTTGTTTTCCATTTGGTTTACTTTGAAGGTTGCTGTTATCCTTCCTGCTTTGGGGTTTTGAAAGGAAACACTGTTGTTTCCTTGTTAATTGATACCTAATTCGTTTTAGATACTTTAGGCATACTTTCTTGGTTATTAAAGTCTTAAAGCATACCCTTAACATCCTTTTCCTTTATTAATTATATTTAATTTAACTTTAAATCTCTTACTTAATATTAAATGTTACATTTGTAAGGTAAAGTTAAACTTACAATGTCTTGCCAGGCTTTGATTTATTGGCTTCCCTCGCTACGTAAGCATTGTCTATTGTCCTGGCACCATGCAAGGCAATTACCTGTCACCTGACATCGAGTGACGAAAGCCTCAACCCAGTTTCCGGCCCAGAGTGTCAACGTCTCCGTGGTCAATGCACCGCGGTGCATGGGCACGTGACCTGCGAACTGTTTGCGCCACAGCACCATCTACACCCGCACGCGTCGATGTCCTTGTGCGTCCTTTCAAGTGACCTGCGCTAAAAATAGTCGCCCCAGCTTCCTCCTCCTCTTGACCCCCTTCATCACACCCTTCGCCGGCTGCTCCTTTTGTTGCTATTGCGTTGGCTGGGCTATATAAGTATGTAGTTACTGCATGCAGTATACAGTGCAATGACAGCCAGCGGGGCAAGCTGCCAGCAGCAGGAGCAGCGCCTGGGAGAGGGGAGGCAGTGGCAGCAACCGATGGCGCGCACAAGGATGACAATTTAAGGTTCCTTCTTGCCCTTCTCTGATCCGCTTTCCTTATCCCCCCATTAGTTTCATTTTAGGCAGAGAGAGAGAAAAAGAGGTTGAGTAAAGTTAATGTAATTTGTATTATTTATTATTATAAATATTTAATAAAAATTGTATTAGAATTTATAATTAGAATAGTTTATGAGTTGACAAAATTAATTACTTGTTGAGATATTTTTTCGAAGATTTTTTAAAGGTTAAAATCCAAGAAGGCATATAAATGGATAATAATCCCACTTAAATACATTTTTAGGATTTTTGAGAATCAGCCTTGTCAAGAAAATGTCCTAGATATTTCCTGAACCCTTATTGTTTATTTATTTAATATATTAATTTGATTCAAGATAATCCCAGCACAATAACGCATGTACGTATACGTAACGTTTTTTTTACATTTTCAAGGATAATTAAATTGATGAAGTAGTTCTAAGATTATCTTATTAACAAACAAATTTTCATTCCTAACTAATAGTTATTTTTTTTCTCTGTGCATCAAACTCAGTTGAGCTCAACTCAATCTGGGGCCACCTTCCGGCTTTGGCTTCCTTTCATGTATTTTGGCCATTTGTCAAAAGTTTGCTTTTTTGCTCCTCTTTATCTGGTCTGTCTCTTGATGTGTGCATAGAAATAGTATATAGATTTAAATGGGTGTTGGCACTCTGGCCAGTTCAGTTGAGCAGAAAGTTAAGCGTTGTCTAAAGCTGCTCTTTTGGAGGGAAAATGGGGAAAAAGTTACGTTGATTGCCGTCAGGGGCCGGATATCAATGGACGGGTACTGAATCTCAATGGAACGATTGAAAGTGGCAATTTACCTGGTGATTAAGGCTGCCATTTTAGTGCAAAATTCACTCATTTTCCCATTAAAGGTCAGTGTGTGTCGCCAGGATTGTTCTAGGATGCTCTTTTCAGTTTCGGTGACTTGCTTACAGGACTCTGGTACTAACATAGTCAGCAGAGAAAGAGCAGAGAAAGAGAGAGAGAGTTATGCTAAAGTCGGTCCTTTATAAGCTCTCTTTGGATGTTAATTTCCTTGTGTTTGATGAATTTGTATACCCTGCAGGGTATTATTTATAGAGCATTACAGGGTATTTTCGTTTTAATTAGAAGTCTGCAAAGCACTGAAGGAGACATTTTCGAACCTATAAATGATATATATTCTTGTTCACCATCAATAAACGAGTTTTTTTAACCAAGTGGAAAAGGATAGAACATTTTTGAAATTTTTTAAAATTCTATAAGGGGTTACATCATGAAAATTCTAAAAATTTAGAACATTTTTTAATTTCTTACAATTTAAAATAGGGTATGCTATGTTGAGTTGTTTAATTAAGCACTTTAAATTATATTATTTTTAATAATTAACGGTCAGGATAACAGAGAGCTTACAGCGTGCAAAAGAGGAAGAGCTTCTCCATGTTATCCCCCCTGTTAGCGCTGACTCTATAAAAGCCACTGCTGCCTCCAAGCAGCATTTCATTTTCAAAACCGGCGCTCTTTGGATTCCAAAAGCTCCCGCTGCAGAGCTAAAAAACAGTACACTTCATTCCCATTTCAAGTGCAGCTTGCGGGAAGGAATTTCAAGTTTGTTTGCTTAAACTCCAGTGCTTAAAAAAATCACCAAATGTTTAACAATTAAAGCTGCAGAACAAGTGACTTTTAAAAGTGAAGAAATATTAATTAAGAAACAAACAAAGCCATGGAGACGACAGCCGCGAATTCGGGCGACTCCAAAAAGCCGTTCAAAGTGAGTTTTTTGAGTTCTGAAAGTTGCAACTTCAAGTTAATTGTGGCGTTTTTAAATTAAATTGTTGGTTGACAGAGGCCGAGAACCCGAGTGCCAGACAATGGCATTTTTCGAGCATGCATTATTTTCCAGCCATGCCCTTTTTTGGGCGTTGTTGTTTTGTGCTTTTGTTGTTGTTGGCCGCGTGCTGCGTTCGTTTTTTTTTTGTTCTTTATGGAAACTGGGTTGAACTTGCAAAGAGAAAGGCTGGCAAATTTAAGAGAGCCTTGCGAAAAGAGTAAAAAGCTTGCATACATAAGAGAGTGGCGAAAGCTCAGTAATGAGCCTTTGTTTTTGGCTTTTCAAAAACACAAATTTGATGTGAATTTTTCATGTTTGCTTTTCCTCGTCCTTTATTTGCTTTTATTTGTATTTTTTAGCATTTTTTTTTGTGTTTTTTACATGCCAGCTTTGGGAATTGTTTGAGTTTGGCATTTGTTTTGCCCGTCTGCAGGTCCTTTGTTGCCATCTAATTTGTTTATCTGCCGTTTAAACAGCACAAAGCCGTTTAAAGGATTTACCAGGGAGCGGGGGAATTTCAGCGGAAAAAATCTCAACGAAAAATAAGGATTTTTAACGGGGGAAAAGGAAGAGCCCTGGAACATTTTCTTAGTTCCTTAAAACAGCTTCAATTTGTTTAGAGGTATTTTATTAAAGGGCTTTTAAGGTTTAATATTAATATAAAATCAGTTATTTTTACCTAGAAATGTGGTCAAAGATGTCCTAAAAATATTTTCATAATATTAATAATTTACAGCTGTGTTCACGGAAATAGCAGTGCGACAGAGGGAACAACTTCAAAACCTTTTTTTGTACATATTCCTTTTTGCAAGCTGATCTATTGCACATTGTTTTTGTTAAATGGAACATAAAGATAAGAATCGAGAAAAAATTCCGTTAGATTTGCTCTATTTTTATGTTTTATTGATATTTTTTCACATATGCAGCTCGTTTTGGCCGATCACTGAAATAGCAGTATTTAATTTTCTTTCGCAAAAAGTGCCGAAATTTCTATTAATTTTGTAAAAAATGAGTTTAATTACGGTCGTTATTATAGTTTATTATATAATACACCTTTACAACGCAAAAAAAAATATTTTAGTGGGCGCAGGACCTCACTGCTCCATGAGAGAAAGGTATCAGAGAACTTAGCCTAGAAAGAAGGGCAAAACATGTAAAGAGACTCCAAATCTTTCAAATTGTTATTTTAGAATAGTTTATAAATCATAAAATATGAACCGAACCCAAAAAAACCGAGGTACGATTCGCAAAACCACAATTGTACTGGCTCGACGCGTACTTCGCTTTAGCAAAGCTCGTCCTTTTGCATCCTCTAGGGATATATGAGCGGGAATTGGCATGGGAATCAGTCATGGGACCATTCGCCGGGGACTTATTGAATAAATTTTAGATTCGCGAAGTCCATGGAAAATGTCACTGCTTGGTTAAAGGCATATCAAGGCCAGATTGGAGTTCGCCAATAGCCACTTGAACTGCCACTATTCAAATGGCGTAATATCCTTTGGACAAATGACTCCAAACTGGTTTTATTTGGTGGAATAGGACAAGACAATATGTCCGTCGACCTCCAAATACATAGTACCCCCCAAACCACACGCTGAAGACAGTAAAACATGGTGGCCTAAAAATCATGGTATGGGTATACTTTTCATACAACGTTTTAGGCCCCGTATATATGATCTGTCGGATCAAAGACCATTATGTTTATGTCCAAATATTAAAAACTGTCTTGCAGCCGTATCCTGAGGAAAATATGCCATTAATTTGGACATTTCCACAGTACAGTGACCCTAATCATACCATCAAGGTGGCCAAGGAGTGGGTTCTTAATGAAAAAGTGGATGCAATGCCATGGCCTGCACAGTCCCCGGATATAAATCCGATCGAAAACTTATGGGGGACATCAAGGGCTACGTATTAAAGAAGTTTCCGACTTCTAAGCCGCAGCTTTGGCAATTTGTGCAGGAGGAATGAGGCCATATTCCCCTCAAGCGTTTCTAAGACTT